TATGTTTCTGTACGTTGTGCTGCTGACTGTACAGGGGGATGGAGCCCTGTCAGGCGATTTAAATCGCCTTTTGCCCCATCCTCCTAGACACTTGTCTGAATAAAGAATATTATTATTATTATTATTATTATTATTATTATTATTATTATTATTATTACATGTCGGATATACAAGATACGGCGACGAGGCTTTTGGCACCAAGGCGCAGCTAGTTCGTGCGTGTGTTTCGAGAACAAAGACCGTCACGTCCTAACTTGACTAAATCAACACCTTACAAGCGTAGATATATTTATTTTATGTGGGCTAAACTTTCGCAACTTGGGAGTTTCGGTTAGACAAAACAAGGAACGGGTAAACAACAAATCATAAAGGAACTCACAGACGGCTAAAGCGATCACACGAAACAATAGGAGCAACTTTTTAATATCGTGATGTTTTTGACGCGAAACGTTATTTGGCTCACTGCGTCTCATAACCTACGATGGACTAAAGCCCAATGCTACAGGCCGCCAATCCAATCACGAGCCTGTCGTAGGCCACGTGATATATTTGCTCCGTCGTACGTATCAGTGCGCCAAGACGCGTCATGCGGAGGCGAGTTTTTCGCCTGCTTATCGAGCCCTCTCGGAGGCTCCGTCCGCTTGCTACGACTGAAGACTACAAAAGGGAGCCTTCTTAAATTCCGCCTGAAAGCAACCTGATGGAGAAAGCCCGGGATTTTGTGATTTCCTTACCACCCCCTAGGGGGTGTGCGTACACCCCCCCCCCCCCCCCCCCCCTTTGTTTTCTCACTCCTCTATTCTCAATGCCCCCCCTAATTTCAATTCCTGGGGAAACCTCTGCCGGGATCAGAATTAGTGGCCATTAAGAAATGAAGCAGAGCCGGATCCAGTGTGATTGGATGGATTGCTATGGGTAAGTCAAAACTACACTTGGCTAGCGAAACCTTTATGTCAGTGTTGCCTGCGCGCCCTCCAACTTCTCCAAACATTTGACATGTTACAAAATATGTCACGAACGCATATGAACTTAACATTAAACTACTTCACCAATATAAAATATCGCGCCGTACAACAGAGAACCGTATATGCGTAAGATTAGTGCTCTTCGTACTCCGCGTATCGGAATTTCTCTCGCGCACTCTCTTGCAATGCGGATGCAAGCTTTCTGAGGTAGTGCTCCGCCCACCAGCCTTCGGGCCCTAGGCCATCGTAGGGTGCGTGAAGCCGCATTTCATGAAGCCGTGGCCAATGGACGTCTCATAATGCAACGCGCGCAGTGTTGCATCAAGGGTAGGGCTTCGTGTTTTCGGAGTTTCTTTTTGGTCGAATTCGGAGGGTGTTTTTCGGAGTTTATTTTTGTTTGATTCCCAATTCTCCGAAAATCGGAGTTTAATTTTGCAGTGTTTCCTATTCTTATTAAAAAACGAAAGACGTTTACAATCCCCTAGAACGTCGAAATAGAGCGCAGCTCTTGAGAAGGAGGAGGGGAAGGCACGGAGAGGAGGCTATGCCCCTCCTCCTCATCCGTACCTTCCCCTCCTCCTCCCATTTAGCGGGAAATTTTCGCTAAATTTACCGCTAAATTCCGCGAAAAAAATTCCCCGCTAGATTTAGCGGGACTGTTTCCCGCTAAATTTAGCTTGACATTTTTTTCCGCTAAATTTAACGGGGAAAAATTTCCACTAAATTTGTGGGGAATTTTTTCCGCTAAATTTAGCGAGAAATTTTTTTCCCCTAAATTTATCGGGGAATTTTTCCCGCTAAATGTTGTGTGGTGTGGAGGTCACAGACGTCCACACCAATTCAGCTTCCCCTGTGAATTTAGCGGGGAGGTTGAATCGGTGTCTAAGTTTGTGACGTCCCATAATGCAACGCGCGCGGTGTTGCATTATGGGCGTCTTTAAAGGGACAATGACAGGGAATTTAAGATGGCCAAGTTTTTTAACTGTACACGACGTATGAGAGCCCAACTACCCAGAACAAAATTCACGGCGCGAAATTCGGTTTCTTTCCGCCCGAAAACCGCCGATCGAGAACTGGCCGGTTTGAGTCGCGCTCACTCTCTTCTTTGTGGTCACGTGCCGATTTCTATGGTTTAGATTTAGACACAACCACCAAAGATACTCGAAGTCGTGGGTCATCGAAAGCACACATTCAATACTAGAAATAGACAAAAAAATATTATACCCATTTCTTTGTAGCTTCTAAAAAACAGCAAACACGTTGATTGAAAAATAAAAATGAAAGCCGTTTACAATTCCCTGTAACGCCGGTTAGAGCGCAGCTCTTGAGGAGGAAGATTGAAGCGTACTGAGGGATAGGTGACTCCTTGAGGTCACGTGACCTGGGTGGGTCACGTGACCTCGGGGGGGTCACGTGACCTCGCGGGTACGCTGACGGCGACGCCGCTCAAGCTGGAAACGGGCCCCTAAGAGCTGCGCTCTAAAAAAAAGTTGCGCAGTCACGTGACTTTTGCTAGCTTTCTCAGGGGTATCGGTGGCCGAGTGGTCTAGCGCACACCAGCTCGGAGCACGTGGAGCGAAAGCGCGCGCTGCAGAACCCAGGGATCCTGGGCTCCATCCCCACTCCTGCCCGTTTCGATAAGCATCGTACCGGCGTGCGGCCGTGTATCACTACTGCGTCGTACTGCAGCGGGAAACAATGTGGCCATGTTCTGGCAGACTAACCTCCTGCTGTATAAACAACTAACAACTAGATAACAGAAAGTATAAAACAGAGACAGGACGAAACACAGACGAGTACATTGAAAAAACGTACTCGTCTGTGTTTTATATATATATATAAGTTTTTTTTGTGTTAGTGTTACTTTAAGCGTGAGCTAAACCCGGTTAAACCAATCATGCTGTTTTCACGCGCACTAAATGCACCGTATAACGGCGCCCCCCCCCCCCCCCCCCTTTTTTTTTTTTTTTTGGAAAGAGATTGGTTTAGTTTTGGTGATAGCGACCGGTACACAAACACGACGAGCGCCGCGACGATGGACTTTCGGCACTGTTCTCTGTGGCAAACTACGGGCGTTCGTTGCAAGACCGAATTTCGCGTGCGTATTTTACGCGTACTCATCGGTGAAAGATGCACGCACAATTTATTCATAAAGGTGCCTTGAACACGTATACGAAGCATTTAAAATGCTTTCGCTTTCAGGGCATCCTTTTGAACTGTATCGACCGGTTAGAAACTTAAATTAAATAAACGAAAAAGAAAACAAGGAAAAAAAAAACAGCAAAAAACGAGGACAACAAAAAAGTTAGGAAGGAGGAGCGAAAAATAAAAAAAAAAGTACCGTTTAGGGTCTCTTCCTCCAGCTTGCAGAATGCCTCCTCCAGAGCAAGGTAGCGTTCGTGCGGTGAGGATGGCAAAATAAAATCCACTTTCCTGTAATAAATAAATAAATAAATAAATAAATAAATAAAAGAAAAAAAATAAAGAGGAATTTGTAACGAAACCAATGAGATGCCTCGTTATTTTTGGTTTGTTTTGTTTGTAATAAACGAGATACATATTACATGCCTTGGTGAGATCTTGGACGGCGTTGGCAAATCCTCTGGACGACTTAGCTCTTCTAGGATCCTGGGGACACATTCTGCAGCCGCCTTCAGAGCTTCGTTGTCTGGCGGAACTAGTTTAACAAGAAAAAGAAATGAGATAGAGAAAAAAAGAAAAAGAAATCAATCGGAAAGAGCGCGGTGATAATATAGATTTATATATGACATTGAGAACGAACAAGAAACAACACAGGTGAGGATGTGTTGTCATTCCCTTGTTTATTCTTTCCGGGAATCGTACACGCTCTAAATAAATATTTAAAAAAATTTGTTTCGCATGTTCTCATACTGTACTGCCATTTGCTCTGTGAAAATGTCAAGGAGAGCAATATTTTCATTGTGGACCAACAAACTAAAGGGGAAAAATATAAGAAAAAAGGAAGAACATTCTTGTGAGCTATGAAACGTTCTACATAAGAACAAAAACAAATTCTTTTTTTATTTGTCTTTTTTTAAGGGGGGGGGGGGGGTGAAGGGGGGATCGTGAAATGTTTAATTACTTGCAAGAACGCTTGTTCATTTTTCCTTCAAAAAGGCTTAAAGCTGTAGTTGAAAAGGTTCGTTTTTATTTGTAACTTTTGATCGAGGTGAGTGTTTACTTGAATATTCTCACGAATGTCTGACTTACAGAGAAAAATGGGACCGTCCGTTGGTAATAAATCGGGCTCTGCCGGCACAATCGTCAAAGGACTTCCCGCATAGTTCACGAGGTACGCCGAACGCACGTCGTTCAGGCGTTTGTCCGAAGCCTGGAATCAAAGGAGACGAATTTTGGGAGAACACAGTCACGTGAAAACTGGATAAACGGTATCGTTCGACTTTCTTTGGGCCTAAATATTTACCTCGCGCAAGAAATCAACGCCGTGAAACTTGAAAACGCCTCCATATCCTGGCATCATCTGCAACCGGCCGGGCGTGACCGCAATGTCGTCTGCTTCATATGCTTTCGGTGGCGTCGTAGCAACGATAGCAACGAAACAAATAAAAAAAGCGAAAAAGAGAAAGAATTGGTTTTAGACGCAAGAATAGTGTTCTATTTTATCAGTAATTTACTGGTTAGCGTCGTGTAGTGATTATCCCGAGGTATTAGAGCAGCATTCCAAACCTTTTTATCTCTGATCGCCAGACGCGTAGCAACGGTTCAGATTTCTTTGCCTAGCAACATGGCGTCCAAAGCGTCCTTAGCTTCCCCGTCTCCAACGTGGACCGGTTTACAACCAAATCTTGCTGCGTGATCTCAAAGAGAGCAGTGTACACGCGCTTTAAAAACATACTAAGGAAAGCTACAACGAGATTTTTTTATGCTATAGTAACTAAATTTGTTAACATAAAGCGCGTAAATTTAATACATTTAAAAATAAACGCACTCTGACGAAGGTTCTCCGTTACTATGCAACCACCGCGCAGCGATACATCATCGATGTTGTGTTGCGGCAGTTGGCAACTGTTGCCCTTGGAGTCAACGCCATAACTACGGAAGCTGCAACGGCTTGGTAACCTGTCAACAAAAAGGTGAATTTGCTTGGGAGTGCCGTATTCCGCGGCGCCTTGCTGTCACAACTCAAAGTTTTGCTTCCATCCCGATCGGAGGTTCGCTGGTCGGTCCCGAACTCCTCGTCCTCCCTCGGGGACCACTGAAAATGGCGATATTTCGAGAGGCGTGCTCAAGCTGCGCGACCGTTCCTCTCAATACGCCGTTACTTCGAAACGCGGTGACACGCGGCCTGCGATACGTTTTGCTTACTGCTCGCCGGCTGCCCGATCCGTTTCCGAAGATCTCTCGCCACACGAGCGTCGTCCAGCGAGGCCGCGATCTGCGTTTAATTGGCCGTCGAATATGTTACGACACTGATATGACTGCCCGGCTCTCCTACGTGAAAATTAGTGTTTACGCCGAACATTATTTTTCTTGTTGACCGCGCTGACATGGCTATACGCTGCCACCGGTTGCCTGCAGGGCGATGCATATTTTAAATGAAACCCGTAAATTGTTTATTTTTTATTAATTTTATCAAAGGCTTAGTCATCAGTGAGCTAGTTAAGGAAAGGGGGGGAAGGAGGGGAGGAGGAGGGAGGGAGGTTTTGGGCCTGGTCTGGTTTTGGCAGATTCACACAGTTCAGAGTCCGTTCATGGAGTGCCGTGTGCACTAAAAGATCACTGTAACTTCAGTTCTGTGTGAATCGCCGGGGCCTTCTGTTCAATGACTCGTCATTTAGATAATTGGAGCAAGTGGACATACTGCCACCTGAAATGAGACCATAAACAAGCTAATTAAATAAAACAAGGTCGTTGTTCGGTTTTGGGGAGGGTGGAGGGGAGGCGAGAGGGTAGGGGGGGCGGATTCATATTGATTTTACTTGTCGTAAACTTTAAAATGCTTTTGTAACAGATGCTGCCGAGTTTGATGTGAGTTATTATAATATTTCTTAGATGCACTGACACCCTTTTTGTGTTTACCATCTCACCGTGGTCCGTATTGTTGACTGCATTACTGACTCGTGATCGAACAACTGCATGTAATATTCGGCAGTCATGTTCTATTTAATGGCCACTCATTTATACCACGACAGGGACGGAGAATATGGTTTGCATTTACTGATTTCAGTTTTTTTAGTTTGATCGCTTGCCATACAGATAAGGCCTTTTCGGCTCTGAAGGCTCCTTTAAAACTCAGTACTGTAGTTTCGATTCTGTCACCTCCGGAGGTTTGCACGAAGTGCACAAATGTATCATATTTTACGATGGTTTTATAAAAATAACTTGAAACTCCAGGTGCACTAGACCCTGCAGTTATATTTGGCATGCCTGCACGACCCCATTAAAATCTTTCACAGATATGAGGATGTCACCATGTGACACGCAACATGATAACCTACTTTTCTGAGCGACGAAGCATTAAATCGGTACCTCTAATAGAACAGAGGCCTATTGCATAGAAGGCACCATGTAACCCAGATTCATTTTGCACTTTTAGTTCTTTCATGTGACATGGCAGATGTCCGTAATGTATTTGGCACATTAGCCTCCAGACTTTATTTTTCAGTGTGTTCCATTAAACTTCTTTTACTCGTTCTATGGAATGGTTTTGTTTGTTTGTTTATTGGTGTTGCTTAACTTTTAGCTCCTAACGACATTGTTGGGGAGGAGTAAGCTATAAGCAAAAGTTGCAGTTTTGCCGGAAGCTTTGTTGACATCTAAAGCAAATAAAAAAAAGATACTTTTTATGCTTACATTAGGAATGCTTCTCAAATGGTGCAAATGTCTCCTCTAGGCCTGCTTGAAACGGGACAACTTTCCCCGTAATTTCAGTGTTGCTGGCAAGTTGTTCCCCAGCTTTCCCTAGATTCTGGCGCTGCGACACAAATCGCTCGGATCATGTCTGGCTCGAAACGAGGGGAGGAAGTGGCCGAGTGGGCTAACGCGTCTCAGCTCGGAGCGTGTAGCGAAAGCTTGCTCTGGGAACCTCCTGAATTCGATCCCCGCCGCCCCCGCCCGTTTCGATCTGGATGAGTTTCGTACCGGCACGCGTTCGTGTGATGACTACTGCGTGATGCACGTTAAAAACCCCAGGTTAGCGGTTGTACTGCACTGGCTAAATTTCTCATCTACAGCTAAGAGACCGATTACCCGTTGAGGCGCATCTCCATCAAGGCTGTATAAACATAAAGGGCAAACCAATTTTTTTTTACTCGAAACGGCCGAGTAACTTTGACAACTTGGACACGTTTGAAGCGGCAGCAGCTAATCAGGGACGCAATATTTTTATGTGACACCCCTGTGGCGCTGATGATGACAGTTAAAGCCTTGATTCTGGTTGGTTCTGATTTGAAATGGGTCATGTTTGGGAATAAAGCATTTCAGAAAGATTAGTTTGTATTCTCAATGCCATTTAAAGATATAAAAACATGTTTTTAAGTGTGTGTCTAAATAGTGCAAAAAATTAAAATTCATTGATGATGATGGAAGAGTGTAGCAATTTGGTGGCTGCGTGGGAACGCGGGCAGCCCATGTTGCTGGTGTCACGACGTCGAGTTTCTGGGAGAAATTACTTCGTCTGTAGCGGGCTTTACAGTGGCCATAATATATGCTATGTTAAAAGAAAAGAAAAACATCAATCAAGGAGGTGCAGTCAAATAGACCTCTGGTCTCTATCATCGCACTGAAGTGCACTTTTCTGCAAACCAGAAAACTTTAAAAGAAAAGGGAAGCTAATCAGACCACTCTTTTTGTGGTTTAATCTGAGGAGAGTTGAGGGCATACATACTGGGTAAAGTTGAGGGGGGGAGAGGGGGGTTTCACTTGTCAACAAAGCAAACTCGTCGGAGGTCATCAAATGCTCTGTCGGACTCAACTGGAGACGCCGGTTGGTTAACCTCGAAAGGATGATTGCCGCGAGCAACACAACAAAATAAACTTTGACGCAGATTTTTCACTTTTCCCTCCCCGTTAAAAGCGGAAGAAACATGCGGTCGCCAAGCACGATTGTCAATGCGGCAGTGCGTCTGTCCTGTCTTTGGCAAAAAAAGAAGAGTTTTAATTGATGGACAAAGAGTGTGTTGGTGTGGTTCAACATTGAAGAAAGAACAAACGTCTAGGACAAAAACAACACAAGATGTGCTTGTGTTGTCTTTGTCCTACATGTTTATTCTTCCTTCAATTTAGAGTTAGGCTTTCCAGAACGAAATTCGAGGCCCGCCGTTTCTCCCTTTAAAGGGATGGTGAACCGAAATTGGGATTTAAAAAAAAACAATGCTGGAGATGTAGGCGGGACGCTACAATCCCTACAACACTACTAGTAAGGCGATATCTGAAATGGGCGGCCGTATTTTTGGAAAAAGAAGTCGAGATTGAACCAGTCCGACGAGGCACGTGACGTCAATATACCTAGTTTCCTCCTCTCTTCGCTTCGCTCCCTCAAGGCCGCAAGGTGGAGAAGACGCGAGGCTGTTCCCTCTCTTTCTTAAAGAAACGGGACGTCAACATTCCTGTCAAATGCGCCTCTTTTTTTTTTAAAATACGGTCATCCGTTCGAGATATCACTGTATGAGAGATGTTTTGGTGTTTGTAGCATCCTGTTGCACGCTTTTGCCACGTGTTTTGGGGAATCCAGATTTTGGTTCAGCATCCCTTTAACAAGGGTGCGGATGCCACATTTAACTTCAACGAGCTTGTTTCTGGTGCGGGGCCTGGAGAGCGTCTCCGACTGGTGTCTTTGGTGCCCCGTTCCGCCCACGCTTCGAAAGCAGTCCCGAAGTGGCCACAGATGGCGTTGCAAAAGCCGGAGTGTCGTGCTATCAGATGTCGCATAGGTTGGGCACAGAGGTTCCAGAAAGAAGCACGAAAGAATGCAAACATCGTCGCGGCGTCCCAACTCCTGGCCGCCAAAGCTTCTGTGGTCTGTCAAGTGGGAGAGAAACCTGCAGCAGAACAGGCGTCTGCCACATCCAGCATCGTTGCCACGACACTGCTGGGATCTCGGCTGGCTGCATCGCGACACTTTCACGACGTCGTTGGGCGGAAGTTGAACGTCGTTGGGCGGAAGTTGAGGCACTTCTTTTTTGGACGCAGTAAACACGCCAGTTGGGGACTTGTTCCAGATGCCGTAGTTTTGTGGTGCCAACCTCCGACCCTCTCGGTGTCTCTGGTGTCCTTGCAGGGACTGGGCGTTGGTTCGATGGAAGCGCAGGGCTTCATGCCTGACATGCAGCCACTGAACCCCGGACGTGTCCAGCAGAACTCTCCCGTCCACCAGGCATCCCAGCAGCAGGCCATGCAGTCCCCCGTCTCCCAGTCCTCCCAGGTCACCCAGGCACAGGTACGCCTCATTAAGCCACTGGCGTCTCGTGCTGCGGACCACCTCTGGCATTTTAAGAAGCGTCTGATGCCCCGATGCATCGGGAGGACGGTTCCACGGGCAGAGGATTCTTTAGAGGGCAACTCTGGTCGGAGACGAAACCAAAATAAATGGCTGGTATTGCTTTTGTGGCACGTAATATGATCACTGCCGAAATATTACGTCAAAGTGAAGCCGCATACTCCACTAAAACCGATTTTAAAGATGCAACCAGCTGTTTTTTAGCGGGCGGCAAGCGAATAACCTTTTAGTTGAGGAAGGCTGGCACAGCACCCTTGTGACGTCACATCGCAGTAGAGCTGCGTTTAATTAGTTGTACCGCGTACCGCAGCACCACGGTGACGTTACGTCGCAGTGTTGCAATCCATCCAACAGATAGCTTTGGTTTTGCCGTAGATGCCCGAAACAAAAATTTGAGTCGTGATATTTAGAAAACTGCGCACAGTGAAAAAAAGATTATACCTTGTAATTCGGGGACACTGCCTGAGCTGAAAACTGTCGTAATCTCAAATTAAAAAATATTGACTAGAGTTGCGTTTTAAGAAACGAGACAATTTCAATCTGCTAAAGTATGGTGTTAAGACTCCACCCAATTATTGTCGCGCTTTAGACTCGCACATTTGTCTAGAAGGGCAAAGATAAGGTCGAACTGATACTGGACGTAACGTTGGGGGCTCAGAAAGCCACTTGCGTTGTTTCCGCTCCCTCTAACTATGCGTTCAAAAAAATTTTATTTTAGTTCACTGAATTCTTGATGTCTCTGTGTTTAAAAATCGTGCCTACACAATACCTTGTCGTCGTCGCACGTGGCCGAGGAAAACAAAAAGTGGGGAAAATCCCGAACAGCTTATTCTCGACCGAAGTTTTTGTTGAGGAAGGAAGCTCCTATCCTGAGTCGGAAATATTGTTCCTTGAATGTTGGGCCCGAATAGGTCGTGTTCATGTAAAAATCTTGAGCTATTCCTTGCACTTTCCAAATTGTCTGTTCCGACATTTCGAGTGTCAGTTGGCCTTACACAAACTTGAGAATACATTCTTTCTCGCAAGTCACTATCCGAATATAGCCACGTGTAGATTTGATAAAAAAAAAGAAGAATGTTGTTATCTTTACGCACTTGCTTGTACTTTGTGACTGAACACTTGCATCTTAGTATATTGAAGCACTATCTCTGTTGCGGTTTTTCTTTTTTCTGTGCACGCTTTTTAATCGGGTGAATCAACCATGAAACAACAATACACGCGGAGGGAACTTCGTATGTTTCGTATTTTGATTAGCGCCACTAATCTGCACTGCACATGTTTCGTATTTTGACTTGCGCCACTACTCCGGCGTCGTTTCAACGGTGGAGGCAAAATTTACTGCTGTTTGCGCAGGGCTTGTTTCTGGTTTGCCGGGTACGAACTGAAATATATCGAAGGAGTCCGTAAACCCAGCGCAGCCGTCAACGAGCCAGCAATGTGCTAGTGGTACCAAGGATAGGGATGTTAATGAGAACAAAGAACTAGCATGGCCGGCGTACAGAAAGTATTTTCCTGGGGTGAAGGTGGTTGCTAACTATTTGACCGCACTATGCAAACTTTGCAACAAGGAGTACTCCGACAACAAGTCTTCGTGTTCAAATCTGAGAAAATACATCCAGTTGAATTTTGGTTTTTATTCTTTTCATAATATTGACTAATTTTCCAGCTAAATTATTAAGTTTGAATTAACCGCTATGGTGAAAGTCCAACTGATTCGTGTCTATATTTTTTCCTTCAAACGCTAGTTTTTCCTTAATTTTTGTGTTATAGAAAAGTAACTGAAAAGTAACGTCGTTACTTTTTGAAAGTAACTGTAATGAGTTACTTTTTTGTTGCGGTAACTGTAACGGTAACTTCGCTACTTTTTTCTGAAAGTAACTGTAACAACTGTAACTGTAACTCGCCATTTTATTATTAATATATTGTTATTATTAGTATTATTATTATTATGATTGATGGTTTTCTCCTCTCCACTCACCTCCTTCCTTCAGCATTCGCTCTGCTAGAGAGGAAAGGGTGGAGGGCTTTGATTGGGAGGGTCTTGTCCCGCTTTCAGTTTCTTAATTAATCTACGACAGATTGTTAGCGAATTGAAGGTACGGTCATTCCTCCCTGACCGACGCCGGCCACTTTCCCTCTCGACAGGTGGTTGTGGCAGCCGCCAACCAGCAGGTGGTGCCTTCCTCGTCGCCCGCCGAAACGAGTCCCCAGACGACCGTGGTGCAGGTGTCGTCGTCGAACGGGGCGCCCCAGTTTATCGCCGTCGCTGGTGAGGAACCACCTTTTTTTTTTTTCTCCAGCTTTCCGACGGATTTAGGCCCTTTTGGGGGCCGACGCCTTAACCTATAGTATGCTAACTCTTTTTTAATGTGTTTGAATTAGTGCTCTGGAACGTGCACTGACCTTGGACTGGTTTGGAGCGCACACATTCAAAGTGTGCAACGTCGCCACGGGTTGGTCACACCTCTAGCAACTGAAGATCGCCAGCGACGTATCCCCTTCGTCGATTTCGGAGCCGCTCAGAGGGGGAACAGCGGGTCTGGGGCGCATGTGGAAATGGACATTCAAAACAAACTACCAAATAACTGGAAGGGGACAGAGCATTAGTGATAGCACTGCTATTTGCTGGAAAGCACACAAAACAAGCTCTGAAACCCAAACACGAGTCACACTTGTGATTAGTAGCCAAGATGTTAATTGGCAAGTGCCACAGCTTGTTCCGTAAACGTTTGGTGGGATAGATGCTGCATTCGTATGGCCGAAACAACCCTCCATCACTTTGGAAAATTTTCTTCGATTGTTTTAGGGGCAGGGAATCAACTGTTTTTGTGCATTAAAGTAGTGAAATTTAAATCTGGAAATCATTTCAATCTCTTCTTGAAGTGTGTATCACCTCCCAGATTCAGTTACATCTTTGCTACGCAAAGTTACCAACATGCGCCGCCATAGAATGCACATACCTATTTTTTTTGGATTTTGGGTCATATCAAAAACACTATTGTGGGGCACATTGCTTTTTCTTCAATGGAGGTATGAAAATTTGTGAAGTCTTGTTTTCTAACAAGTACAAATATTTGGCCCAGGAAAGAAAAAGCGGCAGGCCAAAAATCATTTGCTCGTTTTTAATGTTAATCCAAAAATTGTTTTTCTCGACAGAAGGGACTATTTGTTACGTTTCCTGTTCCAGTGAAACAAAGTCTGATAGAATTGTTTGCTTCGTGTCGGTTACCAGCATTCGCAAGAACGGGCGCAACCATTATAGTTTCACTCTGCACTAAAACTGACTTCAGCGATCGCAAGGGCCACATTGATTTCGAGTGCATCTTTGTTTCGTCAACCGGTTTCACTCTTTCTCTCGCGTAACTTACTCTCAACAAACAGTGCCACGTAACACGGTCTCGTCTTACCAGGAACCCATGTACAAATTGTACCCCGTCAGCCCACCCCGAAACGAAGCCTTTCCTCCCGTAACTTCGTATTCTCACAGTGGTTCGTTGCAGTCTGGCTCGCAATTCGTCGTTCCAGATGTGCGAAACCCGCAGTTTCGAGTCGTCCTATCGTACCTAGCCCACGACCCCGCAGCCGTCCGGGCAGCCTCGTCCACTTTGGGCAGTGCCGTTCCGTACCGCTTCTAACGCCTTCGGTCGGGACTTTGTTGCAGTTGCGGACCCGGACAGTCAGACGGGGGGCACCGTCACCTTGCAGCCGACGCCCACGGTGCACCCGACGTACGTCCAGTACGTCGACGGCACGGGCGACCCCAACCTCTACACCACGACGAATGGACAGATGTGAGTAGGACACCACAGAGTGCTCGCCGAATATGAAACAAAACAGTTGCAGTTGTAGTTATACTAAGGTGCCTGCGTGCGTCTTCGACTGAAGCGTTTACCGTTCCCTAAAAATTGGTTCCTCAATTCCCGCCCGATGACGTGGTAAAAGTGTCGAACCACCTCTTACCTAGGAAAAAAAAACCAGATGTAGAATAAAACCCAGTAAGAAATCTGGGCACATTTATTTTCTTTGCGCAGCTTTGCACTTGCACATAATGAGACACGCACACGAGCGCCACTTAGGTTCTTCAGAACCTTCGTTTGACGATGAGTGCTTGTTGCTGTCCGCATCCCATGACGTGTCGAGATGCTGCGCCTGCGAAACCGCTTGCGTGCTGCTTTGCCCGGGAGCGATTTTCGCGCCGACGACACCCAAGCTCATGCAATCGGAAGTAGCAGTCGTCACAAGCGACCGGCAGGTGTCGGATTACCGTGCGTTTCTGCATCTGCGTCAGCTTTTCACTTGGAATGTATGTTAGACTGGTGTCTACTTCCACTCATTCTCGCTTGGGGAGCGGCAACAACGACCGCGACACAAGGAACGGAAGTCGCGTGAGAAAAATGAAAACAGCGGCGTCAAGCAGCCATAGTTGCCAGGTTTTTTTGTTTTTTTTCCGCCAGTGGCTGGTATATAAGACAGGGGTCAACTACTTCTAGTGCATTTCCGAAAACAAATTTGACCTATATTCCGGTTTGTACGGTATCTGTTGCCACTTCGGGACCACTTTTGACGTAAGGGCGGAATTGGGCGCTAAGTACACCAATCGAAGACGCGCTGCAGGCACCATTGTTATACCCTTGGTCGGCAAATAGTTGACAAGATCTAGACTCGATTTCAGCAAAATTCGGCAAAGAGCAGGCGCCAAGGTCCCCTTGAGTTGATCAGGGCAACAAAGCAAAGCATGTGACGGCTGTCTACAAGAGGAGTGCACTCGGATGGTACATTGCCCCATGCCTTGCTCCTGCGCTCTGATTGGCTCGCTGAGGCCGTTGTGTCTTTCGTCGTTTGCCAGGTCGTGGCGGAACAGAGTGCCGTAATATCTCGAGATTGCGGCACAAACAGAGGACAAGCGCAAGGCAAACATTCTTCTGTTGTGTGCACGTACCTTGCTGCCTGGAACGTGCTGTGCAAGTTGCATTCTTCTCGGGGCTCGGGCGTATTTGTAGGTTATTGAAGGACTTGCGGGGGACATTTGTTGTTGCTGGTTTGCTTTTGCAACTCGCCGACCTGGACGTGTCTGTGTCTTTGTTCAGGGCTGGGTACCCAGTCTACAGTGTGACGGACGGGGGCACCATGTACACACCGGGCAACGGCGCCTACTACAGCACCGCCAGCGGTACTGCGGTCACTTACTCTCAGGTATGGTCCTTTGCTCTTTCGTTACCTCACTTTGATTGCATCCGAGGCATGTGTGATTTCTACTATTCTGTTAGTGATGCAAAATCATTGGATGTAGAAAGGCTTTGAAAAAAGGCATTGAAGAAAAGAGCCAAAACATAGAGGCGTGGGTTACTCTAAAACCTTTTATATCCCAATCTTATGCCTATCTTTCAATCCTGTTGAATTAATTTAAGGTAGTGTTTGGTAAACCCTTAGCTACATAAAATTCTGGGAATGTGTTGGTTTGAGTCTCAAGTGCTCTGAGAAGGGCTAGCTATTGCACTTCCTGCCACCGGTCTCTGCACCCTACAAGTACTGAAGTCGGATGTCTTTTGGTGACTTGTTGCTTTGAAGCTTCTCCTTGTTTGTGCAGCTTTAGCGAATCAATGCATTTGCTAATTTTGTGCTGTGTCGCTCATTTGTTTTAGGTTGGTTTGCAAGTCGAGAGCTGTAGTTATGTCAGACATTTAATCTTGCGCCGTGCACGTGAATTGGATTTGAACGATATTACGAGGGCCGCAGTTTTGTAGCTCACAAATATGCGACTGTGCCTTAACGGCGTAAGTGAGTGCATGTGATGTTTTTTTAATGAAACTTTCCCTTTTTGTTTACTTCTCGAAGTGATGTATGCTAGCAACTGGTAAATGAAACTTTGTTTCGTGATTGCCTTGGAATTTCTTTTGCATCTGTTTTATTGTGTTTTTAGGTTATGAAGTTCTGTGTGTTTTTGCACTGCTGAACAAATGTCTGTTTCTTTGTAATACTTTATCTCTGCTTTTGTTAGTTTTGTTAGATGCCATGGCATTTGACTTTGCGTAGGCCTTCGAATTGTTGGTCGTTTGGAATTTCACACTTATTTGCTTTTGAGGTGTTGCTTTGTTGGTTTCTGTGCGAAGCTAATGCGTAAATGCTCTACAGTGCCACTGTAAATTTGTTTTTTGTGACATGCATTCAGATGTCTATATTTTTATGGACTATTTCTTGAGTATTGTCACCACTGGTAGTTCAAACCTCATACTAACCTTCCTTGCAGTCTGTGTCCATTTGAGGTTGGCTACAAAGTGTTTGAAACATTTCTTGAGCAATATATTAGATAACAAAATGCTAGATAATTGACTGCTTCACTTGAACAGTGTAATGCCTTACTTGCTCAGTGTCCTTCACTATAAAATACCGGGGAAGTGCCCACCCCACTTTCGCTGAAAACTAGATTAATCTAGTTAGGGTGCTTGTCCAGTCAAATCTGGCACTTGACAGGTAATTTGCAGAATTCCCATGTTTGGAAAATGTCAGTGGTGGGCGCTTGAACGCGGAGGGCGCTTTTGTGGTATTTTACGATATGTATATAGTGACGTCAGTGTTGTCTCTGCCATGTGAGACACTCTTAGCCTGAATCTTCGATCGACAGTTCCTCGCATTTCTCTGCGCTCAAAATATCTCCAAGTTGAACGACCAAAAATATGAATAGTATCAAGTGCATGCCCATCAGCAAAAGCTCGTGCAATATTACATTGTCTGTCCCGAGAAGAATTTGCTATACTACTTTAATGCATGCTTTTTTGCACTTTATCAGTCAGTAATTACGTAAATGGCAATGAAAACCATGAAATATTAATGTTTTGTCTGCAGTGGCCATTGTCATTGTAGCACGGCAGTCGGGCAGTTGGAAAGCGAGAGTAGCGTAGGCAATATTTGTATTTTCGACAGCTCCACCTTTCGGTTGCTCAAACTTTGGTGGCAAACTTTGACGTTGCCCACCGTCTTCTCCGAACGCATTGCGAGCGAGCGCCGATCCCACGCTCGGCTAATTGTGTCGCGAGTGTATGTTGTTGTGTGACCCTGTTGCGTGTTTGTTTTTACTTACCCCGTTTCTCTTCTCTCAAACTCACACCTGTAGACTCTGGAAGTGGCGGAGGTTTCCTTTCTAAGCTCGAAAACAGTAAGCCTTTTACTAACCTTGGTGGTTGTCTGCTGCACCTCTGCATGCCTTGTAGCCTCACCCGCCCCGGCTTTGCCTTGGATTGTGTTGGCTTGCTCTGGCTTTGTGTTTGCACGGCCTGGGTTCTCTTTTACGCCATTTTACAGTGTGTCTCGGGAGTAGGCGCACCATAAGATAAATGTCAGTGGTCGAACGAGGGGCTCCCGGTTTATGCCTTTGCACAGAACTGCCAATGATTTATTTCACGCATGCCTCGTTCCTGAACAGACGCAGTAAATATGGCGGGCCCTGGCTGGACCACTTGTGCTCGGCTTGTCTCGGCTTGCCATGTTTTGTCTCGGCAAGCCAGGCCTCTCGTTGTGATCTGTACTCGCTAGATGTGGCTCGTCTGGACTCTCTGTGTAAGGTGGAAAGGGGAGTTGAGGGCACTGCCTTATGTGGTGCTATAATGCTTGAAGTTATTCAATGTGCCAAGAGGAGGCACCCCAAACTTGCACCGTTCAGAGCTCTTTATACTGGGAGAGTGTGGTACTTTTTTGAAGGTGCCGGCAGTCCAGCAACCACAGCTGGAATTCGGGCAACCAGGAGGCGGCACCTTGCCTCTGCCATTTTGTGTTATCAAGTTTCGAACTCGCTCTGGATTAGGCGCGCCAAGTTTGCGGCAACCCGCCATTGTTATAAAAGTGTCTCGTGTTAATGTAAGTGTTTTTGGCTCTGCGCACATAATCAGCAACTCCCTATCTGCTGCACTCTCTTAAAATTCCATGAGCTTAAACTTATTCCGCCTTTGTGAAAAGTGTATTTTGGATACTTTGAATATTAGGTCTCAAAAATGACCACCGTTAAATTCCATTGCTCGATGGGTGCCATCTAGGAGAGGCGCTATGAATCCGTTCAGTCAATTGCCAGATTATTTCTTTTAATAAGAAAGCATACTGTTTTGTTTTAAAACCAAAATAAATAACGCTGATTTGTAAGTTCTGTTTTTGGAGATCAATAAAAGATGGTCATTGCTTGAATATAGTGACCGATTGCTGGCATGGCAAAGTGTCAGAGTACAAGAAATTGTGTTTATAAAACAGCTACAAACCGCGCATATGGACTGGTGTAGTGGACCGAGTAGAGGAGTGAAAAGGTGCAGTAGACCGAGTAGAGGAGCGAAAAGCAAAATCCTCCATTTTGTGTTAACGTAAAGTCCGCTTGTTTTAGTGGGTGACAGGCTCTGCTGATTAGCCAAACTCTCCCAGTATACAGGGGTCTGGTGCACTGGAACCACCGGTCACTGGTGAACTGTAAATTCCATATTGCCTTGCCCGCAGTTGCCCGCCCCCCCTGCGTGGTTGACTCGGGTTAAATTATGTTTTTAAGCCTTTCAAAAATCATAACTAGCTCATTATCTTATTACTTGGGTCAATATACCTCCATCTTCTTCAAGCACCTTTCTGCCTACATACAGAGATTGCAGATCTTGTCCCTCCAAATTGATAGGAAAGCCATGCGATTGAAACTTGTCTTCCATAAGGGATGATATTTACTCAACCATGTTTCGCCAAAGCATATCGGGACATTGCAACACAAATAAGTAGGAAACTCCTCATGCTTTCGTTAAGACAGTCCAAAGCTTTCGTCATTGTAGGATGTAAAAGTCATAGCATTTTTTGCTTGCTTCATGCTACACGGCAACATTTTTAGTGGCCCATACAAAGGGCACGAAAATAAATGGGCAGGACAGCCTTGAAATTGGATTCTATTAAGCTGCCTAGTATGTACACCAAGTTTTGCCATCGTGAGAGCTCTAGTATATTGCAGTAACCAATTTGCCCACCTTGATAATGTTTATCTGGCGACCAGGCAACACTGTCCATGTTAGTCACATCATGGGGCCCTTAAACCAGACAGTTGATTGCCCTCTCATTCTAGGCACCCCATGCTCGCCCAAGCTCGCCCGCCACAGTATGATTGCAGCGTCTTGCAGTATAAACGCTATTCTCACTCCCGTTCCCTTGCCCTTTGACCTTCCACCCAGCACGTACATGCGAGATCGTTGCAGACGACGGCGAGTTCATCCGTGACGATCTCGTCGTCGTTGCTGGAGCTGGTTGCCAGTGGGTTGAAGTCAAATTGGCCAGCTTCCAACACCTCTTGATAACAATCACTCCCATCGTTGCTGTGATCAGCGTCGAAGACTCGGGACGATGCGAGCAATGCCGTAGACGTCACCGTCTCGAACCTTGTGCTCAAAACGCGGAAGGTATTTGAGGAAGCTGAAGCGCGAGATGCGAAGCGAGCCAAGCCTGCAAGTGTGTGCGACGGGACGCCGCGCGCTGGGCGAGGTATGTCGCCGAACCCCCAAGCATGGCGACCTTCCCGAATAGGGTGGATCCGAGGGTCTCGCACATAAATTGATCTGTCCACGAAACAATTGCACCATTTACAAAACAAATTTAGTAAAAATATAGGAACTTACGTTGGGTCCTCGCAGTGTAGTCGTCTCAGACTTTATTTTTGGATCGTCCTTACCCCTTTAAGGTGCTAAACTTGCTTAGAACTAGACACGAGTAATGCATTTTTTTTTTCTGCCCTCCATACCTTTCAAAGAAACTGCCTGTTGGGGTGGTGGACAACATGTGAGGGAGCGGGCATAAAGTGCAAGATAGTATCGTAACAGTGAAAGTGTGAGAAGAAATTTAATGATATTTTGTGGTTGGCGCCACAAACTAATGAAGGGCATGTGGTGTGCCCCAGCGAAGGACTGAAAGTTAACGTATACCACCTGGGCCTGTTTTCTTGAGTTATACTAACTGCCGGCAGAAATTAGACGTGATCTTTAAGTGAAAAAACTTTGATCCATCTGACCAATAGAAGGGACGTTGGAAAAAGGGTATTCGTTATAAACAATAGCTTGTGAAATGCACATACACTTGTTTGCAATGTCTATTAATGTTTTTCTTACGTCAAGGAAAGCAACAACTCGGGGAAACTGATTCAGGTTGATGGGCCACCACCAGAATCAATGCTTAGGTCGGTGACCTTGCTGTGACTGACGCACTTGGTACTTTCTAACCGTTAGTGCAGGGATAGAGACATACTGTACAACCTTCATCTCGCTTTAATGAACTGCAATGAGGTTAAAATGCTTCCCAGATTTCAGAAGTCCAGGACGCATTTAAATTAATATTGAGGGTCGCCGAACCTTCCCCACTCTTTCTGCTTTCACGAAGTGGGGATTGCTCTAAGCCTGGTTTGCCAAGCTGAAAACGTTACTGCAGTTCATTCTCGTCTAACTCATCCACATTCTCGTCTAACTCATCCACAGTGTTAACGCAGTTGCTGAACATTGCTGAACATGAGCTGTCACCCCATCGTCGCAGTCGCAATCAGTGGTCACGTCGTCTCGTTAGTATCGGCGTATCATTGTGCTGCCTGTCTATGCAAAGTTGCCCGTAATTCAATTGTCAGCTAGCTGGTTAGTTGACTTACAAGCTGGTAATATTAGTTGGGGAAATGGACAATTGATATCGGCCGATTGGATCAATAGGAAAACAAGCAGTTCATATCGGCTGATTGCGGAGAGAAAATTTCACAAAATGCTGCAAATGCTGCAAACAGCGACAAAACGACATGGAACAGTGTTGCCAGATATCAGAGAGGCACATCAGCATTTTTGGCCTAATAAACTATTTTAGTACGTTCGTTGAAATCTTCAGTGTTAAAATAGCTTCTTTGTACCTTTTTACCCCTTTCCAAAAACAGTAATCAGATTTATGAACTCTGAACTAAGTTTTCATGGAGCACTGTAATAAAATACTTGTTTAATTTTACTGAATACAATATTTCTACACCAAGGGTTATTGCTCTCTCTGCCAAGTTGACAAAGCTACCGCCCGGTAATAAAGCATGGGTCAGCTGCACCCCTGGTAGTTTGTTAGAGTTTGCCAAGTACTTTTAGCTACTAGGGACTGCAGAAGCGCAGGTAAAGACTATCGCACTTCAATAAACGAGCCATGGGGATCTTTCGGGCGCAACCAAAATCTCGGTTGCGCGGCACGTTCTCTGTGAGAGGCCTCTGTCATATTGTGGTCCTCTTGGCTAGGGTTTGAAATTAATAACTAAGGGCCCATATGCTGGCACTTAGCATCAGTGCTGCTGTGAGGGCCCAAAAACTGAAAACATAAAAGAAAAACAAAGATGTTGTAGAGATTATTTTTGTGCTGGTCGGTTCTGCATGTACCTGGTAGCTATCGCACTAAGTGCTTCTCCTCTGCCAAGCCTCCAAGGCTGGGTGCATTTGCCATCGTAACTTGCAGCTTTGTGGACGCAGCTTATAAGTTCGTGCCCGTCGACGGCAGTTGTATGGGGGGATGTAATCTGAACATGCCTGCCTAAATGCATTCACTTTTTTTTTTTTTTTGTGTGTTGGGTGATATTTTTAGCGTTGCTTTCCTCGAACGTGTGTTGCACAGCTACATCAGATGTCTGCATATTACATCACCCAGTGTGTTTGTTGCATGTTTGTGAAGTGTCAAAAGTGTTGTCTTTTTTTTCCCCCCTTAAATCTACACTTCCTTGCTCTCACAGGCTGTGTGTGCTTTACATCATGCATGCTTTTTTTTTCTGTTATCATTGTGGGATAGAAAACTTGCCACATCTTTGCACATTTATTTCTCGAGCTGCGGAGATCTCCATGTCCTTTATTCATTGTCAGTGTTTAGTGTTCACCATCCTTTCAGATGCTTTTGTAGGTCCTTTGTTGCATCAGGAAACCATGGGAGCCAGTAGAACACAGTTTGTCAATGAGGCTGTAAGATAATTGATCTTGGACGATAAATCTTGCTTTGCAGGGACTACACTGTAATCAATGTCAGAAACTTGGGTTAAAATCAAATGCTCTAGTTCTCGAAGTCTGAAGAATGCCCTTTTTGGCAGCTCTAATGATATCTGTTGAGGAAGATGGCAAGGAAGGCCCTATACCCCGTTTCACATTAAGAAACCCATCAAGCAGCGCCAAAAGTGCACCGTCACGGCGCCCGTCGTCTTTGTGCATCTGCTATCGCCCGTTTGACCAATGAAGCGCAGGATCACCCCGCGTTCACCCTGCGTGAATAATTCAGCTGGTGGTAGCAACCGCACAAAGACAACGTGCGCCACGACGACGCACCTTTGGCTCTACCTGATTGACCTCATCGGATCATAATGTTGGCTGCAGTGGGAGTCAACGTGAAACGGAGTACAGAGCTTGATAAGTATCATCCTGTAAACCAGTGCTAGGTTGTACCGCAGAGAGCGAAGTCCCTCTCCATGCTGCCAAAAGACTCGTGAGACGTGTCGGAGTCTTTCAATATGCTTACAAAGTAGGATTTTTTTACGTTGTCTTTAAATAAAATGATGGTTTTGCAAAAGAAAAAGAGGTAGGCCATGGAGCGTACGGGTTCACAGTGCCTCTACATGATGGTGCCGCTCACGGCGCTGAACGTTGAGTATGATGGGGTATTGTGAAGGTCATTTTGAGAAAAGAAAAAGGAATGAAACTAGTAAAATTTTGGAGATTGTCGTAGATACGGAAGTTTGAGCAGTCGATTGAGAGTGCAAAGCCGAAAACACTTACATTAACGGCGCGTCACAGCGTCCCATGGGTGACTCGTTCGAAGGCAATTCGAAATTTCAACAAATTTCTGGTTGCCAGACTACCAGCAGCACCGGCTAGATGGGCGGTTCTTGATTGTCGACGCCAGTGCCGCGTATGGTCGAGTACCCAGCCCTCCCGTAGCATTATGGAGTTGTTTTGTGACCAGTGGCGTATTGAAGGACTCTGGACACGTCTTGCTACTCTTCGTGGCAGCCTCCATAATGTCGGCAACTACATCCTGAAGAACAATCTATTAGACGGAAGCAGTTACTCCCACACAATTACGTCCCCCCTCTCATCCCTGTGAGGCTGAGCAGAACTTCCGTCTGGTAGAAGGACGCTTGTAGCTTGAACAGAGGCCCGCCGCTCCGTGGAAAGCGACGTGGAGAGGCGCTCCGGTCACGCAGACACGTGCACACACATGTGCAGAGGCATGTGCGGACATGTGCGCCCCTTCCGCCGCAGGACGATCAGCGCAAAGTGGCGGACCTCATGTCCGCGTACCCGGGAGACCAGTGCGTGGTTCAGACTCTCCACGAGACGTCTCCACTGCCGACGACGCCCGTCACCACCTCGGCGGCGTCCAGCACAGCGCAGGGATCACCCTCGTCAGGAAGTCAGCATCAGAACATTAGGGACATGGACATTATCCATGTACGTCTTGGCTTGGCTTGCTGGAAGGCTTCCTACTTCGTCCCGTTTGAATTGACGAGATTGAGTTGATTTAGTTTCGATTGTGCTTTTGGTTTGTTTTGGGGAGGACAAATTGGGGGGGGGGGGGGGGGGGGGGGGTTCGCGACGTATGAAGATTTTTCCACTAGTGGGTGCTTTGATGAAAAGGGGGGAGTGTCTGTTGTTTAGCAAAAAGCTCTTCCATTACCTACTCTTCGTTGAAGCCGGTTGAAGAGTGAACCCATCTTGTTTGTGTTTCTAGCAGATCTTTTTTATTTATCCTGCCCATGGATGAGTAGAGAAATCAAAATGGTGCAGCTAAATTTAATACCAAGTTTAATGTTTGTGAATCATAAAAAATGACTGACAGCACAGACTAGAGGGGTGCCTTTGCTTTTGAGACAGCTTGTCTTGCCATGCAAGTTATGCATTGTTTTTTCTTGTTTTTACAAACATTGGAATTGTTTTTAGTGCTGTTTCAAAGTTGGACCACCAGGTTTCACTCTCGACTTTCCCCTTTCTTTGTGTCAGCGGACAAGTAGACCGAATCCGAGGGCTCTTTGTTTAGGTTCCGGCGAACATTGCTTTCGAGCCGCTGTCATCGGCCACCTTTTTCCCTGAAGTTCACCCTTATCTCCTACTCCCCAGGAAACGCTTTCCCTCTTCCCTAATGGGGATGGGGAGAATCTCTCTATCCTCTCAGACACAGAGAGAATCTTTCCCCATCTTCCCACGAGATACGGAGAAACATTCCCTATCTCTCCCCTACTGTTGGGGTCGCGCAGAAATGGAATAGGGAGAGACTTTCCGTATCTCTACACTTCTCCTGGGGACACGCACAAACGCCAATGGAGAGAGACGTTTGACCCAGACGTAGAACATTCTGCTGTTAAAATTAAGTAAAGCGGGATTCCAGATTGCCATTGAGGCCCCCTCGCCGCCTGTGACGTCGTCGCCCTCCTTACAGGTGCAGTGGCTGATTGACAACTACGAGACGGCCGAGGGGGTGTCCCTGCCCAGGAGCACTCTGTACAACCACTACCTGCGGCACTGCGGGGAACACAAGCTGGAACCCGTCAATGCCGCTTCGTTCGGGAAGCTCATACGCTCCGTCTTTCTCGGGCTGAGGACACGCCGTCTAGGCACCAGGTGCGATCGCCTGTCCTTTATCTCTCGAAGAAACGGGTTCTCGCTTGGCTAGGATCCTGTCGGAGCAGACGGAATCAGCATGCTATAGTCGGTTGCAACTCAAGAAGGTAGGGCAAGGGAAAGGAAAGGAAGGCCAGGGAGGAGGAAGCAGACGGAATGCTGGAGAGGGGAGGAGGCTTCCCCCTCTTCTTTCTAACATTCCGTCTCCCTCCTCCTTGGGCTCCCTTGCCCTCGCCCCACCTTCTTGAGTTGCAACTGACTATAGAGATCCACATTATCAGAGAATCAGCTGTTTTTGCTTGACGCACGAGCACCTGCTTTGTTGCGAGGGTGTGACAGTGTGGTACCGTTGAGGGAAACCGTCGAGAGCATTATGTGTTTTATGGCACCGTGAGCCTCGTCATCTACTACAACCCGATTGCGCTTCCTTCCATTTCACACCATGTTTTTTCTTGACGATGAACCTCTAGTACTGCTCGGCTGTGTTTTCAGTTTTCTTTACAAAGCTTGGCTATTTGTGGCATCTATAACATTTTAGTCTTCTATTGAATATATTTTAGTATGCTGTCCATGTATTTAGCCTGGTGTGTTGTAGTCTTCATTGCTGTTGCACCACTTAAACCCTAGTCGTCGTTGTGTTAGTGACCTCATCGCATCTCAGTTGACGGATGCATTTTTCACACTGTTTTAATATTCATATGTTTAACTTTTCTGGCTTTTTCACCAGCTGGTGACATAATTGTTATTATGTATCTTGGGTCAGTGCAATCTAGTGTGATTATTTTTGTTAAGTTGTGAATTATGTTGTTGCAAAAGTGTTAAAAGGAAGGAAGTTCCCCAGCCATTCTTCGAAGTGGTGGAAATGGGTGGTGCGCCAGGCAAAAACGTCGGGGAGCTCCCGCTGTGGAGCTCTTTCATGAATTGTCTTTTTGTGGCTTGTAGAGGCAATTCCAAGTACCACTACTACGGTATCCGAGTGAAGCCCAACTCCCCACTCAACCAGATCTCGGAGGAAGTAACGACCACCGCCCTGCGACAGCAGTCGGCCACCCAAGCCAAGAGGTGAGCCATCGAGAGCCGACCCTAGCCGAGCCAGGTCAGGCGGTGCCGAGCGGAGGCCCTCCGCTGTCTGCCCTAGAGTCACTGAATGTTCCCAGAGTACCGAAACTCCCAAGCTTCGCTTCAAAACCTAGTCGCGGCGCAGCAGTCGCGATCCCCAACAAGGCACAGCCCTGTGCAGTCGAACAAAACACGTACAGTGTAGCATTCTTTCTCGAGCGAACCCTTCAATCCACGTTCCCAGCCTGTGGCAACACTGGTTTGTCTTGAACGAAGTTCTTTCCTTCGTTCCGAGCGGTGCGGGACTTGCTGCTCGCTGTTTCGTCTATTTCTCTCTTTCTCTCGCATCGAGACACATCGAAGTCGAGTGTTAGGCTTAGCACCCGAGGCGTGGAGTTTGAAGCGCAGCACCAGCACAACCGAAGAGAGCAAACTAGCCAGCGATCTTCTTTGGCAAGCCAGATGAGCGGCTTCTTGATATAAAAGAATCTAGAGAAGATCACCGCCCCTTCTGATCGGTGCCGACTATTTGATGGCCAGTGCACCCGCCCGTGCGTACCCGCCGTAGCTGTGGTAACGCGGAAACATTTTATATACATTTTTTGTTGTTTTGGGCCAATCCACACAATGGCTGACTGATAACTTCCACCACGGACTAAACCACCCAATCAGAACTGGGTTTTTTGGGATTGACTCCCGGTAAGTGGACAATGGAATTAGGTACTCTGGGAACACTCAGTGACTCTGTAGTCCGCCCAAGTCACAAGGGGGGGGTGTCGCGGCGGGCCACCGCCCCGAGTGCCGCTGGCCCTGGTGATGCCACTGTGCCCAAGTGGCCAAATGCAACTTGGACAGGATTGGTTGAGCCAAAGGCTTTTTCCATCTGTTCCTGCTGAACAACCGTCTTTCAAGGGGATTTCAAAATAGTTAATTTTGATGCTGAGTAATTGTAACCGCAGAAGGGGTATCACAGTTGTTGCTTTGCACATTCTAACTGACGCAAATATTTCGATTGAACGAGTTACAAAGTATTCATACTGGTAGCTTTGCAAATACATGATGTTTTTTTTTTAAGCTTTTACAGATTTGTTTAAAAAAACAACCTTGAAAGCTACTTCGATGCAATCTACGCAGGTGAGTTATACAACCAGGGGGACAAACATAGGGTCATGATTGTCATGATAAGTCGGTAAATAAACTCGAGTTTGTTTATTAAATTTTTAATTATTAAATATAAAAATATGGTTCCGATCAAGAACTTATTGAGCATCATCGGAAACCACTAAAGTAAATTTGAGAAATAGTTGGTGGCATGTGGGTAGTGCGGTGGTGCGCCAAAGTTACTGCTCATACAACAGGCCCAAGGCTAGCAGCACGAAAACGCGCCCGCATGGTTTTTCTGGCTTTTATAATCCATGTTTTCCCACCGCCAGCATTGCGCCCGTTGAACGAAAGCTTACTTCAACACACCATCGTGCTTCGCATGCCGCAAATTTTTCTGAAATTTACTCATTTGGTGGTTTTCGATGACTCTGCAAGTTTCTGCTTGGAATCATATTGTTATCTTCAATGATTAAAATGTCGCTAAACCAATTTGATTTAATTTACCGACTTGTCACAACGATTATCCTTCTACATATATCCCCCTGGTCGTACAACTCGCCTGCGCAGACTGCATTCGTGTAGCTTTCACGGCATTTTGTAAAACAAATCTGCAAAGCCTCAAAGGACACATGCTAAGGAAAAAACCTTTTTTTTTAAACAGCCTGGATGGGAAAAGGAAGTCATAATACATTTTACAACGAACAAAAAAAATATTAAGGGGGGACATGGCCTGGGAGAGTCAACTTGTGAACCAATGTCTCAAATTGATTCAAACTTTCAGGGTGAATTGAACCCCATTAGGATTGATGACAGCTAAAGTTTCAGTCTTATCGGCCAACTCTACAACATATTATGCTTAACAAGCTCCAGCAAAAAGTTACTTTATTAGGAAATGTATTTAAGAAAAATGATAATTGCAATCCACAAAATGTTTGGTTTAATGTGAAGTAGAATACCCATAGTGCAAGTTAAGGTAAAAATTAACTGTAGAAAATGTGATTCTAGAGAAAAACAATAACACCCAAAAAGAGTGAACGATTTTAACAAATTTGTGAGTTTTAAAATATTCAGTTTTTGTCATGAAGAATTTAGCTTTTTGAGATTATGAGTACCTTAACTTGTTCCTCAGGAAATTTCAGTCCAGGACACCACTGAATGAAATCTTTACACTTTCAAAATGTCCAATGATACATTTCCTCATACCACATTTCCTGCCAAAAAGTGAAACTGAGAAAAATGCAGTTGAAGTTTCAACTTTAGGTTTCTTTCTTTTCTAGGAGTCCCAGGTAGGCCAAATTCACCTGGCGCATTCTTAGAACCTTCCTCTTTGAGACTTCCCTGTTCTCCTGGCAATAGCTACCAGTTTGTGTTGTTTGTAGGCATGCTAACTTTTGTAGCAGGCATTCCCTGACATATAAGCTGGCAGGAACTAAGAGCCAAATCACACTGAGAAAGAGCAGCAAAGCAGGAATAGGATCTGAAGTGGAAGATACTGTAAAGGGGCGTTAATGAAGACGACAAAATATCACGTCACCGGGAGGGTCCAATCGTAAACCCTGTTTCAGGTGTCAATCAATAAAATTGCTCATACCAAATTTTCAGAATGTTTTTCTTTTTGGATGTATTGGGTCCTCCTGGCCATTGATACTTGTAAACTTCGAGAGCTTCTACGGGCTAAATCTAGAGTAAATGGCACTTCCAATGAGGTTGAGATGTTCTGGCTAGGTTAAACAACTATGAAGCAGTGCTAAATAAAAAACACAAAAAACTTGCTTCCTGCTGACTTGGAGGGCTGCCGACATGTCGAAAATAATTTATTCTGAGATAAATCCTGCATGTTTATAAATGAAAGTTTCTGAAACCATTCTTTGGAAGTTAATAAGCATAAACATATTATTTTTGAAAAAAACTTTTTTTCTGAAAATTTTGAATTCCGAGGCCATGTCCCCCCTTAAGAGCTATATTTTCGGCACAAAACGAATTTGTCGTTGGTGCCCGCGGGTGCCGCAAAAAAGTGGCCGCTATTTATCACGTGGTGCTTGCGCTCTTTCACAAGCTTCCTATGGTCTCTAAAAGTTACTTACTCATCTTCACTTGGAGTGTAGCAAAAAATTAAGATTAATAAGTAACTTTTAGAGCCCAAAGGAAGCTCCTGAAAGAGCCGAAGCACCACGTGATGGACCTCTGCGCCAGTCAGAAATTGTCAGTTGCGGCACACCGGAGTGTTTCCTTTCGGTGGTGGTGGCGTGGAGAAACATGTTCAATCGTTAGTGCACCACGCTCAGCTTGCGGCGGCAGCGTGACTTTGCGGCGACGGCAGCACAGCATGGTGGTGCATAGGTCTACCACGTGACCAGCAGCGGCTCCCGCGGGCACCAACTACCAATTTGTTTCACGCCGTAAATATAGCTTTAAAAAATGTTTTCCTTCATTATAAATTTGTTTTATGACATTCTTTTTCCGTCTAGGCTGTCTAAAAATATGTTTTTTTTCTTTGCACGTGTCCTTTAAAAACAACGGCCTGTATAATCCCTTTTTTAGACTTATCGCCGGCCGTGTTCTCTTGTCACCAGGTTCCGGCTGGGCGGCAAGACGACAGAGAACCACGACTCCGGCACTGCCACGCCGGGAAGTGCGCAAACGCCCGATTCGTCGAGTGGCGGAGGGGCGGCAGCCACGGTTGCCGTGGCAACGCCGGTGGCAGCCACGCAACCGTCTGCGGCCGCGCAGCAGCACCACCAGTACCTCGGTGACGCGTCGTCTGCTATTCCGCCGCTCGGCGAAGTCGAATTTGGAAGCAGCCCCCTGCCGGATGGGATTGGCATGAAGGACGTGGACAACTTCAAGCGGATCTACCGAGACCACTGCGAGGTCGAGACCTTTTGTTCGGCGCTTGCGGCTTTGGAGCGTCGGATTTATTGGTTGCTTGTACCGAGCAGAGAGCCATGTTTTTCGGCCCACGTAAATGAGCTATGCTTTGCATGAGAGTGTGAATCTCCGTGAGAATGTGAAACTCAATGAGAATCTGAAACGCCGCGGAATGTGAAAAAGAGAGAAAGACGAAATTCTTCTACGAGCTGATGACCAACTAAGCCTAGTAGCGTCAAAACAAGAAATGACACTGTGGGTGCCTCTATCATCTATTTGAGTGAAAAAAAGCCTGTCAGCAAGAAAAAGAACAATATTTTCTGTCTTGCTGACACATGTATTTTCCTGATAACACCGCACACATCCACAATCTTGGTTCTTTTTTTGACGATATTAGGCTTAGGTGGGCGTCAGCTTGTAAATAAATTTTCTCCTTCTCGGTTATCTTTGAAACCAGGTAATGTTGTTCTCTCAATCTCGTGCATTCTATCGCACATCAAAGGTTAGCCCACTTCTTATTTTCACCTGATTTGCTTTCAATTTTAGGTGGTTTATTTCTTGGGATACAGTAGAACCTCCTTACATTCGGATCTCATGGGACCGGCAAAAATGTCCGAATTATCCGAAAGTCGAAATATCGAGAGGACAAAGGAAACTGCGCGAAAACGTTTCCCTCTGACATAACTTTAGTTTGAGAAGAAATCTGTTATTACTGGCTGCTTTCCGGACGATACTTGGGCGGAGACGGCAACTTTCCTTAGCGCAGTCGAGTGCTCCACCGCACTCGCACTGTCGGAGCTACGCATCCCGTGCGCGGACAATATAGCACAGCAAGGCCTCTTCTAGTTTCGGGGTCACCACCTTCCAAGGCCGCTTTCTTTTCGTGTTGAACTTCTGGCTCTCGATATCGGCCTCAATTTTCACGTACGTGGCCAAACTGCTTCTCTTGATGTCGTAACTTTCTGTCACTTGTCGAGAGACGCCGTCCTTCAAGGCCCTCAGGGTTTCCACTTTCGTCGCTAAATTCTTAGTCTAGTACAGCTGCAACGGAAAACGAGTAGCGCAACTGACCAATAATCGGAGCGGCGAAATCACGACATCCGGCCCTATTTTTCCCCAGCGCGCCGATAGCGAGAGTGCCAGTCACGTTGCATTTTTCAACGCGGGGGTGGCCGGCGAAAAATTGAGGAATAAGATAGCTGTTAAAATGGCGGGCTTTAGGATCCCCGCGTTCAGGCATGGAACGTGACTGTCACTCTCGCTATCGGCACGCTCGGGAACAATAGCCCCGCGTGTCGCGATTTCGCCATTCCGGTCGTCGGTCACTTGTGCTACCTTTTTTCCGTTGCAGCTATGCTTCTGCTGCTTCAATGCCAGGAGAGTAACGCGCTGAAGCACGGCAATCCAGAGCAAAACTGGTGCGAAACATGGAGAATCGGAAGAGCGAAGAGCAATGGAAAACAGGAAAAACCACATGTGCACCTCGGATGGATGGCGGTCATACCCTTTGGAATGGGCGGTAGCTAGCGCCACCTGCCGAATTTTTCCGAATTAACCATTGCACGACGCATTCTCTCAGAATTAATGAGCGTTTGCTGCCGTTGACTAATACATACGTTTGACGGGACCGGATCGGCAGTTCAAATTATCCGAATTAGCGGGGGTTGAATTAACGAGGTTTTACTGTATTACAGCACCCTCCCGTCATTTGCAGAAATTGACTGACACCGGTCGACGCAAAAAGACAGCTGAAGTTGTTTCGTGTTTTTATTCTGTCGCAGTCATTCCTGGATGCCGTGATGAACCTGCACTTCTCGGCCATCGAGTCCCTCTGGCAATCCCTGTGGCGGGTGCAGGGGGCTGAGTGCGGGTCAGTTCAAGCTTGTCTCGCCACGCTTGCTTGAATGTCGAAAGAACTTGTCTTTCGGACCTTTGTTCCAAAAAACTTGCACAAAAGAGGATGTACCATAGTTGTGCATGGCAAATGTGCTAGGGCACTGAGCGAGGTCCCAGAGTTTCGTCAATGAAGGGATGAGCCAAGTTTCGAAACTTGTACTTTGCTCTTTGGAGGTCGGAATGACGCCTTAGCACAGCGTAGAAGATTGCAATGTGGTGTAGGTTAGGTGAAAAAGCATAAAGGTGAGCTTTTTCTCCTTTATGTACGGTGGACTTCCATTAAACGAAAGTCGGCTAAACGAGAATTGCGGATAAATGGATTTGTGGTGGCTACTTTGGTTGGCTTTCTCTTTAAAGCTAAAAAATTTTAAATAATCGGGACTTGGTTTTTCACTTACTTCGATTAAGGGGCAACACTACTTCTAGAGCTTTTTTTTATATAACTTGTGGTTGAATTCAGATGGAATTTACATGGCTTATTTTCCATTACAATCTGACAGCAAATATGTACTTGCTTTTCATGGAACCTACTTAGTTTTGTTAATATTGAAAATTTAATTTGCAAAGATTATGGGAAGGATTAAAACAAACTGAAATACTAAAATAAGAAAATAAACATATATAAGTGAACTTGGAGGTATGTGGAATCCAATAAGGTATAAACAAAAGCTCTAGGGTGATTTATAAACTTCTTAGGACACTTTTGAACTTTCCAGTTTCAAAATCATTTTTTGCTGGATGCTTAAAAGGCACCTACAAAAACCCTGATAGCCTATTTAATATATTTGTACACCTTATTGCATATGTCACGCATACAGCTAGCAGAGAAAGAAAAAATATGAAGATTAGATATGTGCAAGTGGAGATATTTCCTCCATAAAATAGTAAAGGGTGTAAATAGTTCACTCAGAAATAATAATTTTAAAAAATCCGCAGACCCATTTTACTTTGATTACAAGACAATACCTAAAGATAAGAGAGACTTATCTAACGAAAATCCTTCAGGACAAGATGATAAGTGCTTGCCAATCTTCAAAAAACGTGATTTCAAAAATGTGTTTTCTTAGTATATTTCTGCCTCAAAGAGCAGTGTCTGCCCTTGAACGGAACTTAAACAGAAATTACCCTGCAGATATCCGAAACGGCCTCAGCAGTCTCACAACCATGAGTAAATTCAATTGCCACGAAGCTGTGGTGCCAGAAATCGCGTTGTGGCTGCCAGTTTCTGCTTACCAGCTTCTGTGTGGACATGGAACGAGTGAACAAAACAACCACAATAGGCACTTTCGCTTGCAACAAAAGTGAAGATAATCGAGGAGCTGGATCGCGGCGATCTCTCGAAGACTGAAATCGCCAGAAAGTTCAACCAGTTTGGCATCCCAAAGTCCGTGCTCTCAAAGATATCGAAGGCAAAAAAAAAAAGATTCAAGGTGCTGTCAAGGTGGGAATCTTTGCCATAGACCGAAAGTAGATGCGGAAGACACTGTTGGACGACATAGAGAATGCTCTTTTTCTGTGGTTGAAGCATGCGCGCAGTGCGAATTTGCCGATCAGCTGGCCCACTTTAGAAGAAAAGGTAAAAAATGTGACGGTTGTGCGGACTTTCTGCCCAGCCTCCGAGGCATGCACACCTACTTTGTAAAAAAGCAGTTGCAAAATGCTAAACAAACCAACATTAACACTTTTTTTCTAGTTGGCCATAGTAGCTGCATTCATGTTGTTGCAATAAAGTTATATATTTCACCAATTTTATGTACTTTGCCTAAATGAAACTTCGGATAAATAGAACAAAATCTCTTGTCGCTTCGAATTCCGTTTAAAAGTCCACTGCATTTTGGCACGTATGCGCCAATTTCAATGAGAAAGTCAAAGTGGCTCGCATGTATATCTATCTGAAGTGACATCTGGAATTCCAAGATTATTAAGTAAGATTAATCTACAGCAAGGACCTTCGCAATCTCGGCAAGTATGCCAAGTCTTGTCTCTTCATTGTCCGATGTTTCTGCAGGGACCAAGAAAAGTTGCTGAGCAAGTCGAGCCTGTTTGTGTTGTGCAAGTGCGAGCCGATCCAGAAATTTGTGCAGCGAGCAGACTACCAGTTCTACCAGAACTTGGTGGATGTGCTCATACCAGACGTCCTACGACCCATCCCCAGTGAGTTTCGTCGCTCTCTTTGAAGCGTCGTGAAACCTCGGGTTTGAGAACGATTTGCGACATTCCTATCAACCACTTCGTGCCCGAACGGATTGGATTTATTTGGTTTGCATTTGGCACGTGACTGGATTGGCTTGACACGATGCACCAAATTAATTTGGCTCGTGTTATTGCGCAGGTTCCCTTACCCAGGCCATCAGAAACTTTGCAAAGAGCCTGGAAGGTTGGCTTACGTCGGCGATGCAGGGTGTACCTGAGGACATGGTGAAGGTGAAGGTGAGGAAACGTGTCTTGCTCGCCGCAATCCGAGAAGGGTCGCCAGTCAAGTTTCCTTCTGTCACAGATCAAAGTTTTTTGGAACTGTCAACGAGAGCGAGAGGTTTTTGTATCCGCTACTTTTGGAAGAACTAGCGCCCCCTGACGGAGACTCAGTTCGAGGGTTTCTCTTCGGGGAACTTGATAAAACGGAGGGCACTATTGGGAAGGGCTGGAAAGAAGTTTCTTTGTACGAACCCTGAGGCAAAAGATGAGCCAGAAGAAGCACAAAAGCAATCTTTCGGGAGCTGGATCTAGGTCACTGTGGCTGAACAGTTGCGCTCGCTCATGCCATGCCCAGGCAACTAAACACCGAAAGGCTCTCTTACTGTGAATCTGAAAAATGGCAGATTACTTTATGGAAGCCAGATTTTTATTTGCAGCTGCTCACTTGCAAACCATAAAAATACACTGCAATAAAACGAAACAAAATTTTTTAATTAAAGAGCATAGATTGGACACATATTTCTTTTGTAAATTTTTCACGAAAAGAAAAACATTTTGTGCAATATTTACGTCGCTAGACACAATTTAGGTGGAGGTCGCGGCCCGCTGTAAACCCCGCCATTAGTTGCCCCGCCCATTACTACTGGATTGACTTGGCTGTTCGGCCGGACGTGCTAAGTAGCCTAGTGTCTCCCTTTCCCGACATTCGATGTGTCTAGTCTGACGTCTGTCAATGCCTGCTCGTTGTGCGAGCAGATGCGTGGCAGCCTCCGGTATCGTCTGCTATATATCACCACCGTATATCGTTGTCTGCAATGCCCTTAGGACATGGACATGAACGCTGCACGTCAGCGTTTGTCTTTGCCTTTACCCATCTGCTATTCCGCTCCCTTCTAGAAATTTTTACAACGCTCGCAAGACTCAACCATGAAAGCGGCATTCTACCGTAAAATACCTGGCAAGCGCCCACTCAAACTTTGGAGATAATCGCAAAAAAATGGGGGATGGGCACTTGTCCGGTCATCAATTTTACATATAGATGTACTGTGCATATTTTCTCAGATCTTACCAATTTGGTAATGGGCACTTAATGTGGAATGGGCGGATGCGCGGGATTCTATGGTAGTGTTCTATCATGGGCGAGTAACGGTTCAATACAAACGTCTGTCAGCGTCTCTCAAAGTGCAGTAAAAGAGGGACCGAAAGGACTAAATGAGCGACAAAACAAAAAAAAAAAATGATTGCATCTCCACGTGGTGAACGATGTTGATTGGGGCAAAGCGCTGAGCCGAAGCATGCCGAGCCTTTCCTTCGTTTTCATCCATGTCAGAAAGAGAATGTGTGGTATGGAACGTGGTTATATACGCATTTGAGCATTTGACCGCAGCGCCCTCTCGTCTATAAACGTTGAGCCAATGCATGCAAAGTTTAACGCGATTCTATACGCATTTGACTGCAGCGCCCTCTCCTGTATAGACGTTGAGCAGCTGCATGCAATGTTTCATCCATGACATCCCCAGCTCTTGAGTTACTACCACATCTCGGAGCCGCCTACTCGTCCCACAGTCGCGGCCGAGTGATTAAAGCGATGGACCAGAAATCCATTGGGGTTCGAATCCTGTTGACTGCGCAAACTTTTTTTTTTTTTATCATTTTTTTTTTTGCTCTAAACGAGCACGTGAGCTCACGAGCACGATCACCAGCAAGAATGATGTGAGCACGGACGCCGGACGGACAAGGCTAGACCTTAAGGAGCTTCACCCTTAATATGCAATTATTTTAGCTCTTATGTCATTGATGTTATTTTTTTCGCATGACATCAGCGGGCAACGTTAGTGAGTGTCATGATGCACAATTAAAACGCGACCTAGAAATATTCGCTTTGATAGGCCATGTGCACTGCGAGACTTAAGAGCTACTTGCCTTTCGAAGCGAAATGACGGGAGCACACCTGGACTAACTCGATGCGAAGGAAACACCCCATTGCCGCCTGCCAAAATGGCTCGGAAGTTCTTACCTGTGTGGTATCTTCTCAGTGTTGCAACCATGGTTGCAATTGCAACGTGTGGGAACCATTGGGTTCCCTCTATCCCTATCCAGGCCTAGCTTCAAGCAGGCCGTGGGAGTCGTCGTCACCAATGGCGTCGGCCTCCCGGATACAAGGAACCACGAGGCCGAATTCCCCGAAGGGGCCGGCTCTCCCTTGCCCATTTGGGTGAACGCGCCTTCGGCACACCCTTGAGAGCTATGATGGACGCGACTGCTAGTGGCCTCCCCGGGCGCGTCCATTCTCCGAGGCTACATAAGCTGGCCCCGAAGGTGGGCCAGGGGCTCTCGTCGGCGGAGGCCCTGGCTCTACGGAGCTCGGTTTTTCTTTGTGGGCCTCCGACTTCCCGTGAATCTGTCTAATGCGGCAGCGCGGGAAACCGACCGGGTGATACTGGCAATTGAGCCAGCGCCCAGACTTTTCATTGTCTAAGAGCGAAGCGTGCTGACATTGCAGTCAATAAACACGTCTTTATCCGGACCCAAAGAACCTTTCTGTGTTTCTAAGTGGTACCCCTCCAAGAGGAAATTCCCACATCTGGCGCCCCAACGTGCGGCTTTCCGTGGACTGCAAAGGCAGCAGCATCCATCTCCTTTCGCTAAGATAGCGAACCAGGTCAATTTCCGGCCAAGGATCAAACAGGTGGACAAAGGGAGAGGCGAACGCCGGACACCCAACGCCACTCAACGGCTTAGTGGCCACGTCAGCCACGCACGGACACAATGCAGTGTCTTTTCAGCCGAGCTCGCTTCCAAACGGAGGTGACTAAACGCCCGGAATACGTCCGAGGCATTCCCTTTCGGGACGACGCCAGCCTACTTCGCTGGGGAGGCGCATCTGCGCTTTTTGAGGTCAAGCCCGTTCTCGAACAAAGCACGGTGACGCAACACGAAGCAAGTGCAGCTTTTTGCCTTCGAGACGGCTCGCGGGGCCCACCCAGAGTGGACACCCCGTCAGCGCACGAACTAAAAGCGTATCTCGAAGCGAGAAAACGCGCTGTGCCTGCAACACCGGTCCCAGTCTAGCGAGGTTGCGGAGACCGCCGATTGGTGCCCTTCGTCGCCGCGTCGACGGACCAGTAGCCATCAGGTTGACCAAGCGACCCCCGGAACAAAGGCCCCCCGGGAAAACTGAGTGAGTCAGAATGATTTCCTTTTTACTCCGTCTTTCCTTCCCGCTATCAAGGGACAGAGGACTGGCGTGAGCATGGTTTTCGGCTACTAGAATTTAGTATGTTCCGTTTACCCGCGATCGACTCCGGCCAAAAGTCAGTGAGCGTCGCACGCAACAATAACGTTAGGAACCTTTCAGGGTCACCTATCGAGTTGCGACCCCGTATAAGCGACGTGAAACGTGAAAACGCCGCGGGGTCCGGGGGCAGTTCAATCGTGCTACCGGGCAGTGCAACAGGTTGAACTGCGTCCCGAGAGGATTGCGTGTCCGATTAAGGTGACCGCCATGCGGTCACTGGACGAGATCGTGAGCCGCGGAACTCGAAGTGTTCGTTGGGAATCGACTGTAGCACCGATGAGTTTTTGATGCCCAGCAGAACGATCCGGGGTGTAAATATGTGAATAGTTGTAAATACTTTCGCGGACTCTGCGGAGTCGGGCGGTGCGTCCGCCGGGCGGTACGCTCGCCACTAACGTCGCTAAGCAACTCGTATTGTTGCAGACGGGCTTTGGCAGCCGGGCAGCGTACTCGCCGGGTCGAGCAACTCGTGTTGTTGCCGATCGGTGCCGTAAATAGTCTGGTATTGCTATTGGCACGGGGTTTCTTTTTTTGATTTGGGATCGGTTTCTGTTCTTGCTGATGCGGATAAACTCGTGCTACGTCGCTTGGCCTCTACGAACATTGCAGTTTAAGGTGGCTGTCCTGCGCGGCTGGGAGGTGCATTCGGTGCTCTCCTTTGTTCGCGTTGGCCAGGGCAGCACGCGGCTCCAAGACTTTTCGAAGTTAGGTCGCTGTGCTATACCTGGCCACAGGCATTTGTGTTTTAGTCTCAGGTAAAAGCTAACATGTTTGAAAAATGACAATGTTGGCGAGCCTGCCCGATTGCAGCCCTGCATCGTTTCAATATCACAAGAAAGGACAGGGTGGTGCATTTGACATTTCATTGTGCCCGCAAATCGAAGCGATTAGGCATCGTTAGCAAAAGCAGCTACAAAGAACTTTGCCTCTTCGAATTGTCACCAACAAATTCATTGTCCGGGGTGACGCGAGTCAGCTTGGTATGTGGACATCCGTGTTCACATTAAGCGGAGTCGTGGAACTATTTTCACAATAACTTCGCGAGCCGAGCCAGTGCGATGCACGTGACTCACGGCAAAAAAGACACCTTTGTCTCTGCCTCTTTTTTTATCTCTGGGGCCTTGTGCACCCAGAGATTGGTCGAGTGTCCTCAGTTGGACGGCTCCACCTTGCTCGGAATTTCCGAAGCTTCCTTCTTGGGGAAAGAAACGGGAGAGGGCGGCAGAAGGCAGGCCGCATTCCAGTGGCCGGCGTTTCCTGACTCATGGGGCCACATCGAGGTGGCATCGACGCCAGGGAGCGTCATCGTCGCCGCAGCGTCGCCGGCCTGCGTGTCCAGATCCGGCTCGTCGGCTGCTGGCCAAGATGGCGGCAGCCATCCTCCCGCTGCCTGGACTCGTCCTCAGCCCAGCAACACGTGGCATCCAGTCGCGGACCCAGGCTGTGGACCCGTGCCGACAGCAAGCAGCTCGCATCCCGTCACGCACCCAGTGACAGTGCCCGTGCCACTTAGTGCGTCCCCCAGGAGAGACGCCCAGCCGCCGTACTTTCTGTGATTCTTCGAACATTTCGTCATGGAGTGTCCGGGCCGCCCTTCCTGCACAAGCCAGGCCACTACACGGACATTGCAACGCTACTCCCGGTAAGCCTGCCAAGAAGCGTGGGCTGCAGAGTTCGGCTGCACCCGGGGTCCACTGTCAAGCAGCGAGCTAGAGTTTTCAGCATGTACCGCGCTGATCGTTTTTTTATTTTGTTTTTCTTCGCGGCATGCTCTTTCGCTCTAGCGTTTCGTTTTTTTATTTTGTTTTTGAGAGCCGGTAGGCCATTTTATTTTTAGGCCTACCTTAGCCTTGAGAAGGGGGGAGTGTGGGAACCATTGGGTTCCCTCTATCCCTATCCAGGCCTAGCTTCAAGCAGGCCGTGGGAGTCGTCGTCACCAATGGCGTCGGCCTCCCGGATACAAGGAACCACGAGGCCGAATTCCCCGAAGGGGCCGGCTCTCCCTTGCCCATTTGGGTGAACGCGCCTTCGGCACACCCTTGAGAGCTATGATGGACGCGACTGCTAGTGGCCTCCCCGGGCGCGTCCATTCTCCGAGGCTACATAAGCTGGCCCCGAAGGTGGGCCAGGGGCTCTCGTCGGCGGAGGCCCTGGCTCTACGGAGCTCGGTTTTTCTTTGTGGGCCTCCGACTTCCCGTGAATCTGTCTAATGCGGCAGCGCGGGAAACCGACCGGGTGATACTGGCAATTGAGCCAGCGCCCAGACTTTTCATTGTCTAAGAGCGAAGCGTGCTGACATTGCAGTCAATAAACACGTCTTTATCCGGACCCAAAGAACCTTTCTGTGTTTCTAAGTGGTACCCCTCCAAGAGGAAATTCCCACAAACGGTTGCACAATTCACAGAGCAGTGGTGCCGCTTTTACGGGAACCAATATATTTACTCAGCATCAACACGTCCAAAGAAACAAATCAAGCCAGATCAACCAATATAGCGTATCTGGCTTGACCTAGGCTTCACACTAGGCTTATGGCAGTCTCGCTACGAAAACAGGCATCCACACTGCGCTTCCGAAGGCGCTTACTTGCGACAGTTGTTGCTACAAACTGGGTCGGTTGAGGAGATCTTCTTCTAAACGCATCGGTGAACTCAAAACGACTCGCACTCATAAAAATAAGCGAGCCCAACAAACTATTCTCATTGAGCACACCGTGAACACCGACAGCCATTTTTGTTATCGTTTGAAACCGAAGCAGAAGGGCAATCTCAGGATGTTTTTGACAACAGTAATGACTCTTATCTAGATTATTTGCTTCTCAAACATAAATAATAGTCCATTAAAATACTATTACAGCGCAGGGGGACAAATTTACAACCAACCTTTCACACGTCAATCATCTCTCCAGCCAATGAGAGATCTAAGCACGTTGTAAGTGCGGGGTGGGGCTTAGTGGGCTGCAACTTTCGCCTTCTGCACCCAGATTGCGTCTAGTGGTGTAAACATTGGTCAGGAAAACTTTATTTTTGGTGATAAAATATGTTTCTTAATATATGTGTCCCTTTAGAAAAAAAGATATTTTTGCATCGCAGTGTCCCTTTAAGGCTTGGTTCGCAGACTAGCGTTTGCTTATGACTGAGTTCTTGCGATCCTTACGACGAGAGAACACTCTGGTATGCTGGTGCCACCTATGAGGTGGTCCTGGAACTGGATTTCATTAGAGCGAAGGTTTTGCAGCATTTGCGACATCAAATATACATGCTACCTGGGAGAAATGGTCGTTTATAACATTGTCACAAGTGTTCAAGCCAAAAAAAGAAAAACTGATGCACGAAAAAAAAAAGAGGAAACCCACGAATGTTTTGTGGCTGCCCGACAGACGGTGATGGTGTGCTCTCCCGTTGTAAGATATTTGAAGAGGTTTAAAGGCAGGCGGTAGTAAGCAGTCGCAGGTGTTTGAACCAGCCTCAATCTTTATGTCTGTTGCTGTCCGTTTCAGATAGGAGCAGTGAGTGCCTTTGCCCAAACACTGAGGAGGTACACGTCGCTGAACCACCTGGCCCAGGCAGCGCGCGCCGTCCTCCAGAACTCCTCCCAGATCAACCAGATGCTGGCTGACCTGAACCGGGTGGACTTCCACAACGTCCAGGCAAGAGACTCTGCTCAGCGTTGCCGGATCGGAACATGGTGGCAGCGTACCAGATTCCCACCGAAATTTCACCAGACGCTTAAATTAACGTGAAAAATGCCTACACTCCGTTTCTCACCATGTTTGAGCGCAGCCGACACTGCGATCCGACCGAGCAGCAAAAGTGCATTGTTGTGGCACTCGTGAGACGGTGCTAATCGCTGCGAGCCGCCCGTTTTTTTATCCGAGTTGCCGCAAGAATCCGATCCAATCCACGTGCTTGTGTTTCCGCGTGTTCAGGAACAGGCATCGTGGGTGTGCCAGTGTGAGGATGGACTAGTCCAGCGCTTGGAACAAGACTTCAAGGACACGCTCCAGCAGCAGACCTCCTTGGAGCAGTGGGCTGCCTGGCTGGACGGCGTGGTCTCCCTGGTTCTGGAGCCTTTCCAAGGGAAGGCGGACTTCCCCAAGGCTGCGCGCCAGTTTCTCCTCAAGTGGTCCTTCTACAGGTGAGGCCACAACTCGGAAGATGCCGGTGACGTGCTGTCTAACCCAGGGAGGTTAGTGTGAACTAGAGCGCGGAAAATTGTAAGCGCTGAAGTCACCTTTCTCAAGAGAAAGAGCGATGAAGAAGAGAATGAAAGCAGTCTGTTGCCACATAAGAAATGCAGGACATTATCGTTCAACAAAGACCTTCACCCTTTCCTCTTTAGAAGAGTGAATGATGGAGAGGAGGTGAGTGCAGATGAGGAAATCACCTATGAGGGTGAGCAGATAGCTTTGTGGCAGGGACTTTTTCCTGCTATTCTAAGCCCACAACATACTGTAGGGGAGTGAAGACAGGAACGAAGCGCAACAAATCGTTAGCACTGACATCGGTGATCCCGAAAAAAAAAAAGAACAAGAAAACGATCAACGGAACAGTGGGGAAAGGAAGCAGTTCATATTGTTGGGCGTGTTGGTTCTGCCGCGTCGTGCTGAAGTTGTACAGTTGCCACGTCAACTTCAGTTTTCGTTTTATACAGTGCCCTGACAACCATGTGTTCTCAAACATAAAATAAAATAAAGCAATACCAGTACTGGTTTTCACCGTCGCCGACCGATCTTTTGGACACCCATGATTCGGACTTGTTCAAAATTTCGAACTAAAAGGAAGAATTGTGATCTACCTGATAGAAATAGCGCATTTTCACGACCAATGTTTCGGACAGCTTGAGGTTTGGAAGTCCGATTTTTCTGACGAAATCGTTGCGGGTGATCAGCAGGAAACACCACCGAGAAGCCGCCATTTTAGATTCTAATCGGCTGCACATGGATTGGCTTGGTTTGGAGGCACCACTTGAGAACTGCTAGGTCCTACCGCTAGCTGACGCTATGCTACTGTTTCTTTTTTTTCTCCAGCTGCGCGTCATTGTCGTCATCATTGTTACAATATTGCTTTGTTCATTCGTCATTTTGCAGTCATGGACTTGCACCTCTGATCTCATCTCAGTAAATTGTGTTTTCGGACTACGCTGGCTTGGACGTCATGGTCCCACCTGTTCTTCCGACGCCGCAAAGTGTCGCTAAGAAGTGCAAAAAGTACCTACTTGACCATAACGCTAGAAGAGAAGCCAGCGATTCTCAACCTAACTGAAAGTGGCCGAACGCAAGCCGGGGTGTAACCTGAAACAAGGCTTTATTGAGGGCTTTTTTAAGCCCGCTTAGACGTACTAAAGACAAGTTTTTTCATCTTCTGATTTGTCGGACTGCTCTGTTTATCCAACGTTTTTTCAGGTCCCTGCGAAGTCTGAAAAATCGGTCGGCGACTGTATTTACAATTTCCGCGAAAATTGACTGAGCTGCCGACACATAAATCACCGACATATTTCTGCTCGCAGCAGCCCGAGCTGCACCACCGTAACTCTTGTCGTTTGGGTCATCAATACCTGACAGACTTAGTCGGGAAACTTTGCTAAAACAGTCGAGACAACGGCACAGAATCCGAAGCGAATTAGGAGTTGCAGCGTGTTGCCGAACATGCCGACGTCTACTCCTCCAGCTCGATGGTGATCCGAGACCTGACGTTACGGAGTGCAGCCAGCTTTGGGTCGTTCCACCTGATCCGTCTGCTGTACGACGAGTACATGTTCTACCTCATTGAGCACAAGGTGTCCAAGGCCACTGGGAAGACCCCCATCGCAGTCATGGGAGAGGTGAGCCGGTTTTCTTCCAGGCCTCGGCACATGAGGTGACCCTTTCCAATACATTGTCGTCGCTTCAGTTTTGGTCTTTCAACTGCGGAGGCCTATATAGTCTGTTGCAGGCTAAGAAAAGCGGGGCGAGCTCTTTGCACTTTAACACAGTGAATGCTGCAGAGAAAAAAACTGTCAGTCAAGGGCGAGCAGAGAGCTTTTTGGGAGAGGCTTTTCTTAACCTGCGACAAACTATAGTCTGTCTTGTCTGGCAGCAGTATTAGACACTTTTTCTGGTAACAATCGTTTTCTATTTGTCAGTCAGGTTTTCAAGAACAATGAGGGTCGCTTTACTTTACTTTGTAAGTGACTTTGAGAACTATGGGAATGCAAGGTCATAAGCTTCCTACACCTTTTTCTTACGTTGAAGACGTATTAGAGACAAAACATTGTCTGCTTTGGAGTTTCCCACAGCAGCATTTCCCAAAGAACCTGTCAAAGCAAGGTTTGCGTCCCGGCATGCTTGAATCAGTTGCTTTAGTGTAGCAGAAAGCAAAAGTGCTCCCGCCGCACAAACAAGCTGCAGATCTTTTTTCAGATCTAGTACCAGCTTGCACTCAAAGTATTGCTAACAGCTTAGAGCAGAATTCAAGGAGACTACATTGTATTTCAGAAACCACTTCCCTCGCGCTTAATTTAAGACAATTGACTCGAAATGTAGGAACCAAGCTCTTTTAATTCCTGCATTTGAACTTGTTCAATATTTCGAACCAAAAGGAAGAATTGTGACCTACCCGATAGAAATAGTGCATTTTCACGACCAATGTTTCGGACAGCTTGAAGTTCAGGAGTTCGATTTTTCTGACTGCTCTGTCCGAGCTACAAAGACAGTTGTCCCCACCGCAATAAAGAGTTTTAGTGGATAATTCAATATACCTCCAATAACGATACAGAATAATAATACGATGCATGCACGAAGGCGTTGGCAGGGTATGCGGAGCACAACTTCGTTTGTTTCTTTTGCGGGGGTTGCGGTGACGTCAGAACGCCGAGCCCTGATTGGCTCTTATTAAAGAATAGTGGGCGGACCTCAGAGCAAGCTGCCTTGAGGTCTACCCACCATCCTCCAATCAGGGCTCGGCGTTCTGACGTCACCGCAACCCCCCGCAACAAAAACAAACGAAGTTGCGCTCCGCATTGGGTATCGTAATCGGAGATGTCGGAACGGCCTACTAAAACTCTGTAATAACGCTAACCCTTGCTTTTGCCCCTGTCTGTGCTTTGCCGCAGTTTCTCGGACTGGGCGCCAAGACACCCACATGCGATGGCACCAGCCCGAACTCTTCCCTCCTGGAGAACGGCTCGTCTAGCGACAGCAGCTGTGCCTCGAGAACAGCCGCGGGCTACGGCATGGTCCTCTCCAACGGATGGCCCGCCGGGCTCGTCGGCCAACCGCAGATGTCCGACGCGGAGCCGACGGCGTCACCTCCCAAGAAGCTAAAGGCAGTCTAAGGCCGCAGCACTTTCGCAACGAAGCTCCAGTGTAGCAGCAAGCGTTGCGCCAAGTGCCACCGCCAGTTCGCCTCGTCATCGCGGGAAGGGAGGCGTTGCTGCGGCCATCGTACTCTCAACGACACCGCAACAAACGATTCTTTTTTGAGAACGTTTTGGTGGGCACTTTGCGGACGTCGCACCAGAGGGGGACATGGCTGCCGCACTCACGTTGAACTACATCTCGCGTTTACGGCAACGCCTCATTTGGCGTCGAAGCCAGCGTTGCACAACGATGCAACCTGGAACGCTGTCCACGTTGAGGGAACTGTGCCTCCGGCGTTGCACGTCGTCGGGGTGTCGAGGCTAGTCTTGTCCGTCGGCGAACGACGGTCGCCACTTCGTCTCGTTTGCGGTCGGCGCTTTGCGGCAGAGGGGAGGAACGTCGCACAGTCTGCCTTATATGTATTAACAAGCTTTGCAGCGGGTTCCGAGGAAGCGAAGCCTTGGAGGGCCACGACGTCACCCATCTTCGCTTCGGAGAGCTTAGTTCGCCCGGAATGTGCAACTAGAGTTGAAGGGAATGAGAACGGTGCCTCTTTTAAATCGAAAGATGCCCCAGTTTCTGGCTTCTAAGGTGAATTTGTCACTTGCGAGCGTGGGTTCTTGCCTTTCCTGTGTCCGTCGAAGCTTTTGGGGACAGTATTAGAGGTAACGACGTCCCGTGTCGGGGGGTGCCATTTTGCGATGCCGCTTGCTCGTTTGTTCATATGTACACAAGCTTTCCGCCGTTTGTGAATAGGCCGCACACTTCACGGTGGGAATCGGCGTTTCGGTGCGGTCGCGACTTATTACGGGAAAAGTGCCATCAAGAGTTCCGTCGAGTTTTTGTTTGTTCTTTTTATTGTTTTATGGTGCAAAACGTTGGGGAACGTTTTTTCCGAGTGCATGGTGATCTGTTTCTCTTGACGTGCAGATTCTAATTTATGCCGTGGCGTCGGCGCGCCTTGCTGCACATAGTGTGTCAAGAACTGCCAACTTTCTGTTTTTTTTTGTTTTTTTTTAAGTTTAATAATTGTGGGTTGTAACATTTGAATGTGATTAATGCTTGTCAAAATTAGTTACTTTTTCTTGCTTTTTTTTTTTTTTTCAGGCAATTATTTTATTGTTGAGCCATACTGTCTGACATTTGAGGCTCTGACTTTAGATGCAGCTTGGTGTAATTGGGAAGACAGAAACGTTCTGTGGCCGACCTGAGGCTTGCTTGCTTTGAAGCATTGTTCGTTGCGTGGTGTGATTAATTTCGATGCGGCCATTCAACATATCATCACCAGTATCGTCTGTGCACATAGCTCACAGTCACCGCCATCTTGTTCGCTGCATACAGTCACCACTATCACACCATCACAAGTGCACCATGGTCGTGTATTTCCCCAGAAAGCAAAAGTGATTAAGCTATGATTCGAGGTTGCTGTACCGTGCGTTGCCTGTGAACTGAACTTTGTAAGTGGTTGCTCCTAGTTCTTACTTTTTTTTCTACCCCCAATGCGTTTCTAAGTTCCTTAAGGTTTCAATCTCTTTGTTTGTTTCAGCCAATTCACTTCCCTCTACGTTGATGGTGCAGTCGATGGTACAAACTATCTAGTGATAAATTACTAGGCACCTTATAACTTTTGGCATCTGCCTACTTACCTGAAACAATTAGAACGGGAGGTGAACGAACATGTAATTTTTGATCAATGCCGCTTCACGAGTACTTGTGTAAGGCCAAAATCAACCTTGATTGTAAAGATACGTTTGGGTTTGTAGCTCATGTTGAGGTGCCATTAAGTTACAGGGCCTGTAGCGTTAATAGCCGATCGCATGGATGACATTTTCGCCTAATAGGCAGCCTATACTTAACGGGACCAAAAGTTTGAAACTTTAGCTGTAGCACGACCTTAAAACTAATGGTATTTTGAGAGACGCAAAATGTGTAAGATAGAACCTTTTGTTTTAATGCATTGTATAGTGTACTCTTTTCTTCTAGTTCTATCACTTGGCTCCAAGTCATCTATCAACTTACAACTGCTGATTGGCATTAACCATCAGTTGTTTGCAGATGCTGCAAAGTACACATATGTCTACTAAAAAAGATGAATACTTACGGATGAAGTGTTGCGATTGTATGTTGAGTTGGTTATTTGCCAAGTATGTCAGCATCATTGGGTTTGTCATGTGTCTTCTCTAAGACAAGCCCAACAGGTTTTGCAAGGTTTTTCCTTTGATTATAGAACCAGTATGGGCTAGTTTGATTTCAACCAAACGTCACAGAATCAGTCATTCGTTCGCAAAGTCAATCTCTAAATATTCTAAGCCTATGGTGCTTTATGTTATTCTACTCAATTGTCAATGAGCTATTGCTGAACATCAAAATGTGTTTTCAAAACAATTTTGAAGCTAAATGTTCCTTTTACCTATGCTCTATTTTTTTTTTTCGGTCACTACTGTGCTGTCATTTGAATGTGAGTGGCACCACAAACCAGAACAGACGACCATTACATGAATACGGAAGTGACACTAAGCATTGGTGTCGGGAAATTCTATATGCCATCCTAATTCGTTTTTAGCACAGCTCCATTCTTGCGGAAACATGTCTCGCTACGCATCAAAAATCAAAATGCCATCCAAGATTTTTAATGAATTCATCCATTTTCGCATGTGCATAGATATGAAACATTGTACATTATGTATGTTTGTTTGTTTTCGTTTCAACTGTTCTGATTTCTTCATTTGTTGAAGGATGCTAGTCATTGCACATGTCTGTGTCGGCAAAGAGTCAAGCCTCGTTATACAATGCAGGGTGCAAGGAGAGTATGACCACTACTACATTTTTTTTTTTTTAACTCTACAGGGTGAATATTTTGTTAATGTTGCGCCAGCCTATTGGCCTCATGAACATAACTTTCTTCACTTGTGTGCGTCGTCGGCTTTCGCAAAGATGGCATCCAGTGGCGGACAACTGCCTTATTTTCTAAATATTGAGATGTTGACTTGACAGTAGAAATATTTTATTGGACACTTGTCAGAATGGTCGAAATCAAGAAAGTAAATAAATGGCACTTGGTGCAGCTAGGGCCATTTATTTCTGACAAATTAATTGCATTGGAGGACAATTTCTCTATGTCATGATTGTCTCAAAATGGAAGCTCAGCTGCTGAAGCATGCTTCAGTTATACTGACTTGGAGGGTACCCAGCCCACTGGAAAATATCATTCCCTCTTTTTCTTCAAATTCATGACAGACACGACCGCCGAAACTTTAAGAACATTGTTTGCCATCCAACTAGTCTTTGGGAAAATGACAACGGACATCCTCAAAAATCTTAATTTTAACCGACGGCGCACTTCAATTAATCTACCTTGTTCGTTGGAAGCGACAGTTTCATTTACGGCATTAATTGTATTCAACATTTTGTCTTTTTCGTCTCTGATGCGACTTTTTTTTTTTATGATCTGGTTGTTCCTGCCTCTCCGGTGTGGCTACATTTATTCACTTGTTTGTGTGCCGAGTGAGATGCAGTCGGGAGGGCCACCGACATTCTGAATGTCTTTCCGACGTCCCTCTAACGTCCCTAGAACATCCAACATCCCTGGAACGTCCCGAGTGTTTCTGCGACGTCGGTGGTTATTTTCCATTATCTCCAGTTGCAAGTATTTCATTAAAACCGGCCATAAGTAGAAATCTTTTTTTGCCTGAAAGCAGCGCATAACGTTGTACGCTTATCTCCCTCCCCCTCTGAAATATTTGTCACCCACTTTCGCACCACTGATACACCGCTCGGTGCACTGCGCCTGGGCGCAGCGTTTGCAGGAAACTTGCAAAGAAAAAAGAAAAGTTATTTTTGACACTGTCTGTATAAAAAGAAGACGGTCATATTTGATGATGATGATGACTGCGGTCTGTCTCCTTAGCTCTGCCCCCCCCCCCCCCCCCCCCCCCCCCCCCCCCCCCCCCCCCCCCCCCCCCCCCCTTCTCTGAAGAAAACCCCAATAGGTCCGTTGACAGCCGCTGCCGAGAAATGTAACGCACAGTGCTTTTGAAATGGCGAGATTTTAACTTGATATTTTCTAATATATGAATGTTTATCTTTTTTCTGTGAAATAAAACAGAAGTAAAGAAATCATTTGTTTCCTGGGATATTTCTTGAAACGGCCGGGGCTTCCTCATTACTTTAGCCTTGCACCCAGCCACGTTGTCCCCCTATCCGGTATGCGTTCCGAACAAAAAACGAGATTACAACCCCGAACAAGTAAAAAAGTATAGAAGGATCATAACAACGACTGACGGTTGCAATTAAAATGTTAACACGTTCTACTGTCGAGGCGAAAAGAAAGCAACGTTTTCACACATACCGGAAGTTCCAGAATTGAAGATGGCGGCGCCCACGAAGAAAAGGTGTATACGTGGCTTGCACATGACGTCATTTCCGATGCCCTCCAGAGAAGAGGGGAAGAAGGAGCTCCCCTCTTATCAGTAACCTCCCGGATTTGCACCGGCGTCGCTATTCTCCTCCCAGAAGATTATAGAAAATTAACCTTTCACTCCAAACACTTACAAAAGACAGTTTCCCTCTCCTCTTTTTATATGGTGTTCAAAAGTATGCGATGTGACGTCAGTGCAAGGAGCTTATAAAAGCCTGTGTCGGGCTTTCATAAGCCCGACACGGGTGGGGGGTCAGCACTGATCTCAATGACAATTGCTGGATCGCGCTTGCTGCTCCCGCAAAAAGCCACCGGACGCAACCCCGCTGGGATACTATTTCCCGTTTTGCTAGCCTTTTGCTGCGGTTTTCCAGCGTGCTGTAGACACGTTTTCTACTCGTTCGTCGTCATTCGCCGAAGAAGTTTTTTAAAGACTCTGTGTATTGTTGCGACTTGCTGTTGTGAACACGTGGAAAATTTTACGAAAGTGCAGTGTCGCAGGAAAAAGGCACAACGCGTCGAAAGGAAGGGCTGGCGGCGTGTTCAAAGCTTCCTTGGCACGCCGAAGTGCCGTGTCTCTGTGTCTTCGCGCGCTTGGATACCGACCAAGAACCGACGCCGTGTGAATGTGTTTAGCGAGTGCAATGTGCGTGAAGCCGTATCAAAAGGTACAACTCGTCGAAAACGTGTCGCCGGTGTCGCGGCGTGATCAAAGCTTCCTTGGCACGCCGAGTGATGCATCTTTGTGCCTTCGCACGCTTGGATACCGGTCAAGACTTGACGCCGCGCCAAAGTTCTGAACGTGTGTCGCGCGTAGATGCCTTTAGATCATTTATATATATCGGCCACGGAGTTCTGGATCGTCCAGCTGTTCCGGTGAGTTGCTATCAATAATAGGGGGAGATCTGTACGTGTTCTTATGTACTATATTAACCATGACTATGTCCCAAATCTACTCTAATAGATTCCGTGGGAGCACGAATAGGGCAACGTTGTGGAGCCAGGGGGTTTTCGAAAGCAAAAGTACAAGACGGCGAGAATGAAAATCTTTGAAGCGCGGCCGATATGGTCGTGTGCAATCTGTTGACCAATTACAATTAGGCGAGCCGCGCTCAAACGTCAAGTGCAATTAAGTAGGTTGCAATAAGCCAGCACTGATCAGTGATGAGGAGCTGTTGTGCACGGTATTGTGTAAATCGTCTAAGGACGAAAAAAAGACGTACCTTCCCCCCATCTTCCGTCGCTAGTGGACGCTGGATTAAGCTCGTTCCTAAACCGCGAGGGGAAAAGACGCTGATCCAGAGGCACGAACAGCTTCACGCACATTGCACTCGCTAAACACATACACACGGCGTCGGTTCTTGGTCGGTATCGAAGCGTGCGAAGGCATAGAGACACGGCACTTCGGCGTGCCAAGGAAGCTTTGAACACGCCGCCAGCCCTTCCTTTCGACGCGTTGTGCCTTTTTCCTGCGACACTGCACTTTCGTAAAATTTTCCACGTGTTCACAACGGCAAGTCTCAACAATACACAGAGTCTTTAAAAAACTTCTTCGGCGAATGACGACGAACGAGTAGAAAACGTGTCTACAGCACGCTGGAAAACCGCAGCAAAGGCTAGCAAAGACGGCAAATTGTATCCCAAGCGAGTGAAGTCCGGTGGCTTCACTTGCGCTGCAGCGAACAAGCGGGGAAGCGCGATCCAGCAATTGTCATAGAGATCAGTGGGGGCACTGATCTCTATGACAATTGCTGGATCGCGCTTCCCCGCTTGTTCGCTGCAGCGCAAGTGAAGCCACCGGGCTTCACTCGCTTGGGATACGATTTGCCGTTTTTGCTAGCCTTTGCTGCGGTTTTCCAGCGTGCTGACGACACGTTTTCTACTCGTTCGTCGTCATTCGCCGAAGAAGTTTTTTGAAGACTCTGTGTATTGTTGAGACTTTCCGTTGTGAACACGTGGAAAATTTTACGAAAGTGCAGTGTCGCAGGAAAAAGGCACAACGCGTCGAAAGGAAGGGCTGGCGGCGTGTTCAAAGCATCCTTGGCACGCCGAAGTGCCGTGTCTCTGTGCCTTCGCACGCTTGGATACCGACCAAGAACCGACGCCGTGTGTATGTGTTCAGCGAGTGCAATGTGCGTGAAGCTGTTCGTGCCTCTGGATCAGCGTCTTTTCCCCTCGCGGTTTAGGAACGAGCTTAATCCAGCGTCCACTAGCGACGGAAGATGGGGAGAAGGTACGTCTTTTTTTCGTCCTTAGACGATTTACACAATACCGTGCACAACAGCTCCTCATCACTGATCAGTGCTGGCTTATTATCAATTCCTACGCGACGCGCCTAATTGTAATTGGTCAACAGATTGCACACGACCATATCGGCCGCGCTTCAAAGATTTTTATTCTCGCCGTCTTGTACTTTTGCTTTCGAAAACCCCCCTGGCTCCACGTACAACGTTGCCCTATTCGTGCTCCCACGGAATCTATTAGAGTAGATTTGGGACATAGCCATGGTTAATATAGTACATAAGAACAGGTACAGATCTCCCCCTTTTATTGATAGCAACTCACCGGAACAGCTGGACGATCCAGAACTCCGTGGCCGATATATATAAATGATCTAAAGGCATCTACGCGCGACACACGTTCAGAACTTTGGCGCGGCGTCAATTCTTGACCGGTATCCAAGCGTGCGAAGGCACAAAGATGCATCACTCGGCGTGCCAAGGAAGCTTTGATCACGCCGCGACACCGGCGACACGTTTTCGACGAGTTGTACCTTTTGATACGGCTTCACACACATTGCACTCGCTAAACACATTCACACGGCGTCGGTTCTTGGTCGGTATCCAAGCGTGCGAAGGCACAGAGACACGGCACTTCGGCGTGCCAAGGATGCTTTGAACACGCCGCCAGCCCTTCCTTTCGACGCGTTGTGCCTTTTTCCTGCGACACTGCACTTTCGCAAAATTTTCCACGTGTTCACAACGGAAAGTTTCAACAATACACAGAGTCTTCAAAAAACTTCTTCGGCGAATGACGACGAACGAGTAGAAAACGTGTCGTCAGCACGCTGGAAAACCGCAGCAAAGGCTAGCAAAAACGGCAAATCGTATCCCAAGCGAGTGACGCCCGGTGGCTTCACTTGCGGGAGCGGCAAGCGCGATCCAGCAATTGTCATTGAGATCAGTGAGTGGGGGTCAGCCAGTGGGGTCAGCGATACAATGTTAGCGGGAAGCAATAGACCCTTTTCAAAACTCCATCAAGCAACATTGGCGGTCACCATTTTTGAGAGTCTGGCTCAATGAAGAAAGGAAATATTTAGAGGAACATAAAGACAATATATCTAGAAAAGGGTAAAGAAATTAATCTATTATGAAGCTCAAGACACTATGGAACTATAATAGATATGAAGTGGTCAGAGGTATATGGAAAGGAGTGATGGTACCAGGACTGTCCTTTGCCATGAAATTGTAGGTTCAGACGGGATTAGAAATTAAACTAAGAAGCGTAGGCAGATTGGCACTGGGAGCACATGGAAAGACACCAAATGAGGGTGTACAGGGGGACATGGGCTGGTCGTCTTTTGCGAGCAGAGAGGCAATTAGTAAGTTGAAATTTGAACAAAGGTTGACAGAAATGGATTCTACACGGTGGGCACGGAAGGTATTTAAGTATTTATACATGAAAAGTTTATGCACAAAATGGACAAACCGAACCCGAAAGCTTACATTTAAATTCCTGCACAGTAGTGATAATAATAATAATTTTTATTTGCACGAGAAAGTTTGCCCACTCAGCGACGTGCAAGGCTAGACAGAAAGGTTAGTACCCTTACGCATGTGCGCCTGCTAGCCCGCCGCTGAGTAGGTGTAAACATAAACAAACAATATTCGGCTGTTTGTTGAGAGGCTGAGCAGACGAGTTCAGTAGAAAAGGAAGTGAAAAAGGCTAAATTGCAGGAACCGGACGCATTATGGGCTGCCTGCCATAATGAGAGTGAGACCAAATACGATATAGCTTCGCCAATACTGGAAACTCCTCCGAAAACACATAGGAGCGGCGGCGAACGTGACAGTGGCGCCTCTAGCGGACTCGGAGTCTACGGAAGCAGTCGACGCAATGGAAAAGTATAGGCTCCGCGACGTCCTCGCGCTTTAAGAGCCCCGTTTCGTCACCCTAACAGCAGAAACAATTTATTACGGTCAATCCGCTTGCAAAGCGGAATCCACTGATCGCAACTGCAACGACAATCGAATAACAACGCGCGCATAAACAAAGATAGAGCAGTTTATTTAGCGGTCTCAAACGCCTCTCAGGGGATCACAGGCGTTTGAAACGCGTCTGGGAAGCGGAAAAAAAGCGTTTAGGTACTCGAACTACGTCGTAATCATTAAAACATGCAAAAACGACATGTTAATATTACCAGAGCAAGCGCACGAGCTGCTGGAGCATAAAAACAAAACAAAAAGTAAGGATAAAAATGACCGTGCAAACACTTACCGAACTTTGCAGAAAAAATAGTGTCGCCATTCCCGATGAAAATAAAAAGAAACGGGAACGAGAAGCGAACAACGGCGAATAAAGCAAAGAAGCTAGCAAAAAAACTATTTCAAACGATCGTTGCGGCGCTTATAGAAAAAAAGAAAAAAAAAAATGGAAAGCAGCAAATGAATAGCTAGTGGTCGCCACCGGTGTTGAGTTCACGACAAACAAAGCGGAATCAACAGACGAAACTAATGAAAAAAGAAGAAAGCGTCCCTTTTTTTTTCAGCTGCTCGTTGTACATTTTTTTATTTGCTTTCGCGGCGTAGGCACGAACTGAAAA